CTTTTAAGCGAGGGTTGAGAGTAGAAAAAGCGTGCGTCTGGCTGCAAATAGTCAAAGGCCCGGTAGAGAGGGAACTTGGTGACCTTCACAAGAATTTGCAGCTGCTGCTGGTAAAAGCTTAACTCTTGCTAATGGGAGCAAGTATAGAAAATGGACAAACGCACCGATGGCCGCTTTCTTCCTCCTTAGAACCAAAACTATTGCATTTTTGGATTTGAGTGAGGTGTGGTAAACGAGATAAGATCATTTTTTTTAAACAAATCTTAAGTAGAAGAAGGAACGCGTTCTTGAAAAGGACACATTAATTTGCATCAAATAAAGTGAAAAGGTTCAACTGAAATTCTCTCCATTCTATTTCCAAAGCTGGCCACATTTTAATTAAAAAAAGCAACTTCATTATGGTTGATCAACGCTGAAAATTGCAAAGTAAGACCACAGCGGCCTGAGTTCAACAAAACAGGAAGATAAAAAAAAGAAAACTGTACTGCTGTGAATTTTAATGGAATAGAACGAAGGACAAACATAAAGTAGTCAAACTAAAATACAGATGTCTGTGCCTTCAGAAGTTGTTGTTTCAAAGCTAGTTTTACTGTTATCTTTGGCCTCAAAGGATTAAAGGTATCCAGGTTAAATGCCTGGAGCAAGACAGAACGGTGAGCACAGACATAAACTTTTTTTTGTTTTCGCAACCTCACATTGTAAAAGAGTGTTTATACTCTGAGTGTGACAACAAGACATGCACACACTGTCCGGACAGCGAGGAGACGACGGTAAACAGGTCAACTGACTGGAAGAGGAACTAACAGTCACATGGCTTTGATGACAGGGTGGGATTTGTGTCTTCCTCGTGCCCATTGGTTTACTTAAAAAATGCATTCATCTGCGATCGGTCTGTTTTTAGACGAGTGTTTAAATTCTCTAAAAGGATTATCTTTATGTGTCAGCCTACTAGAGGGCAAAAATCACCTGAGGTTGCCATCCCATGTGACCTCACTCCCTCTGATTTTGAGGGCTGGCTTAATGGTTGGATGCAAATATTTCCTGTACTTAGTCACGATATTAAGACGACACAATGCTGAATTCCATTTGCTAAAATAAACCATAGAAAAAACATCAAGGTACAAGTCAGATCCTGTTGTCTCTTATGGATTCTTCCCATCTCACCGGTGGGACCACAGTGTTCTGAACAATGCGAGCTCTGAGCATTCCGAGTAAAAGCTGCTTCTGAGAAACACATTCCCATCTAAAAGTCACCACATGCTGCATGTCACTGTGCCCGACAAAACAAATATAGGTTGAGCGAAACCTCAGATTCCAATCCGTCATCTTTTAGAAACACCACTGGCAGTTGGAGTTTGATGGAGGATAAGGAGCTGGTTACACTCACAGTTTGTTTGCTAAGCTATGTTAATGCTGACTTAGCCTAGTTATACCAAGTGTTAGAAGTGTCTTATACAAGTGTGTATTGAGAAGAGTCGTTGCTGGGATACCTGAATAACCAGAAAGTTTACTTGCTAATATGTCTTATTTACCCCCTATATGGCCCTATATGACTTTTAATTTTGGGGGGAAATAATTTTTCACACATTTATTGGGAGCTTGGTTGTCCCTAAAAAAAAATCCTGCATAAAATCTGTACATTTGTGTTTTCCCATGTTTGTTCCCATATTTCTGTATGTGTGTGTGTGTGTGTGTGTGGTTAGTGGTTTTCTCATGTCTTATTCTGTATGGAACCTCAGAAAGCGGTTGCGGATGTAGGGATACAAGGTCACCGTCCTCACTGTCTATGGGATGATCCCAACTCTTGGACCATCCTCATTTTGCCCAAAAAAACACTCTTGCATCCTTCTTGTATAAGTCCTACTTATCCATCCATCCATGGTTATCTAAACCACTTATTTCTAGCAGGGTCACTGGAGCCTATCTCAGCTAACATCCATCATTATATCACTATGATGACTTTTCATTAGCTGAAAACAACACAGATCCACTTTGTGAAAGAAAAATGAAGAAAAATGTACAAATAAAACTTAGTTTTACCATAGAAATTATGACTAGACAAGTCTTAAGATGATCAAAAATGCTTTTTTACTTGCTCTTGGACATGAAAATATATTTTTTTTATTTAAAGTTACTGAAAAATTCAAGATGTTTAAATGTGCACACCTCCACCTGTTGATAAGTTTAATCAAAGGACAATGCCCCCTCCCCCCCACACACACACACCTAGACAAAAGGTGACATGCACTTCAACTCCTCTTTTTATTTGACACAAACAGGATTGTTTGTCAGTGTGAAGTACAAATTTTGGGTTTTTTTGCCTGACAGCAACACCATGCCTTAGAGGGTTATGTGGAAAAATACGAATGGTCGGTACACAGTCAGCATATAGTAACTTGATTGACTTTAGACTCAGTTAGAGTACATTGCTAATAGTGTATTTGACCCACCACCCTCTGGAGGCACTGCGTCTGATGCTGGACCCTCGCCCCTGCCCTGGTAGCACTCGGCGGATCGTTCCAACAAGGGACATGTGGATGAGAAAAGTCCAGAGATGCATCAGTGTGCCGGTGAAAGAGATGTGGAAAAAAGAAGTGGGGATCTGTGGATCTCTGCCCAGACTCCCGGATGGGTAAACAACAGTGCCATTAACACTGGCTGCCCAATTAGAGGCTGGCTGCTAATAATGTATGCAACACTTAAAATTTAGAGCCGGAAATGATTACAATGATTGCACTTTGAATTTAATCTCACAATCAGACGCAGAAGGACTCTATTTTAAATTTTGGTAGTTTAGAAAAACAGTGACAGCAGGTGATACAACTCATCCAGTGGAATGCGCATTGAATAAAACGATAATGAATTCAGCTGTTAGACAATAAAACACAGATTACAATGTTGTGCACACAACACAAAGACTAAGCGGTCAACAAACAGCTCACACAGAGCTAACAACTTTAAGGTGGAACTAATTACAACCACTTTTAAACGTCTGCCTCTCCTGTAGTATGGGATGGAAATCCCCTCCTACCCCACTTTCCCTAACCCCCCCCCTCTCCAGGGAGAGGATTAGGAGGCATCTTTTAACTGGACCATCTGCTCAAAATTGACTCTCAATTAACACTGGCAAATAAAGAAGCTGTCAGACTAAAGAGCAGGGGCAACTTGAGATAGTGCTCTGCAAATGTTAAGCCCAGGCAGGTTGCCTGAGATTAAATGATATCAGTAATAGGAAGGTAACAAACACAAACGGGGCAAAACCGCTCTAACCGCTCTTTTTTTGTAGGGATGTTTGATAGAGTATGTGGCATCATGGTGGAAACTGAAAGGACAGAAGACACAAAAGACATATTTGAGGTCAAGGGGCAGCTAAAGTGTGTATTATCATAAACCCGTATGTGGTCAGCCACTTTAGAAAGCAAACACACACAGAATTTGATAATCTTAATCTGGAGGCTATGAGTTGATATAAATGTCTGCGGGTTCAAGACCTCAATGTAAAACCTGTAGTGGTTGACTTGTAGTAGCTCTCTAAATAGTATTCAGCTTAATGTAACATGAACAAACTAAAGTAACAGACTTCAAATTCATACGGTAACAAAGTGAGAGTGATAATAAAAATGTCATCATGACACAAAGTAAAGTTAATATGAGATAATGCACTAAAGATTTAATCAAACAGGTGTGCATATAAAAGATGAGGATATAGACATAGATAGACATGGACTTCCTTTATTGTCATTGTCAAATACACAAGGTGAATTAGACAACGAAATGTCAATTTCTTGGCTACCAGAGTAAAATTTTTAGCAACGAAATATCAATAAATATGTGTGTGTGTATGGGGGGGGGTTATGTGGCGTTAAGTAGTCTGATGGCAAGGGGGAAGAAACTATTTAGTAGTCTGGTCGTTCTGCAGAAGATGCTGCGGAACCTTCTGCCGGACGCCAGGGGGGAAAACAGTCCATGGTTTGGGTGGGTGGGGTCGGAGAGTATCTGGCGAGCCCGGGAAAGGCAGCGCCTGTCCGCGATGTTCTGGATGCAGGGGAACGTCGCCCCCGTGATCTTCTCCCCTGTCCTCACCACCCTCTGAAGAGACGTCCAGTCAGAGGCCTTGCAGCTCCCAGACCAGATGGAGATGTAGCTGGTCAGCAGGCTCTCGATGGTCCCTCTGTAGAAGGTCTGAAGGATGGGGGGCGGGAGGGATGCTCTCTTCATCCGACGCAGGAAGTGCATGCGCTGTTGGCCCTTCTTCACCAATGAGGAGATGTGGACTGACCAGTTGAGGTTGTCAGTGATGTGCACTCCCAGAAACTTGGTGCTGCTTACGACCTCCACAGCTGAGTTGTTGATGAGGAGGGGTGTGTGGGTGGGTCTGGATTTCCTGAAGTCGACGATAATCTCCTTGGTCTTTTTGACGTTCAGGATATGTCTATTAGCAATCGATAAATATTTAATCATATTGGAAACAGAGAACAGTATTTCCATTGAGATTAAATCTAATTCAGTTTTTTATTTCAAAACCATGTAAGTAGATCTTGAATAAAATATTTCAAATGTAGTAAGTTGCTAAATTAAAATTAATAGTAGTTGTAATAATGTATGAGGCTAAAGAGATGCTCCTCTTGCTTTAGGTTTGGTTTAATATTTTTATTGTGGATTATATGAATTAAGTAACCAAACTGTAAACATTATTTTATTATGTTAAAAAAACAACACCGAACAACTACACAGAAATTAATGTATTTTTGTTTTGCATGGAATTAAAAAATCAACAATAAGCAAAACAAGTTTTTCCCCCTTAATTTTAAACAAAAAAATGCAATATTCTTTTACTATGAAAGGGCACGATCCTTTGCCTAGTGTGGGTTTTGTGTGAGGATAGATTAGAAAAGTACTAGTTAAACTTCTGATGCAATACTGTTGCGGAGGAATCAAACCTTTACCGGCCGGACAGCAGAGGTTTGCCTTGTTGCCTAGATACGAACGCGGAGGGTGGCGCATTTACTGGTTCGTTTCTGAATGAAACTGCTTTTTGGCCGCAGACATTGTGGCTCCGTTACTGTTTGTTATTGAGGAACGGACTTCCTTTGGCCCGAGCCCGAATGTCGCCAGTTTCCTTGTCACTGCCGAAGAAGGACCAACTGTAAGAACAGCGCCATTTCTGTCGGCGTCCATGATACGCTATGCTACCGCAGCGGATTCCAGAGCTCTTGCTCGGAACGGCAGCGGGAGAGAAATAGCCGCTCCCCTTTCGCTCCCTCTCTCTACTTCAGCTCACGGCAGGTAAGCACCTAACCGGCTTTGTGGTTTATTTTCGCTTAGTTTCGCCATAGTCTAACGTTTGTTGTGTAATGTTAAGTTGGCCTACTCTTTTGCTGTATGACGATATGGCGCACATTTTTGAAGGAAAAGTGTCTTGACAGTCCTCGGGTACCGGGCAGCCGCTCCTCCTCCTTGGTCACAACAACAACCGTAGCTACGTGAAAGCTAACATTAGCTATCGTTAGTTTATGTGTATTTCACACTTCTGTTGTATTCTATAGACTTTTTCATATTCTTATATTGTGTGCTTCAATTGCAAGCTGAGACTTGGCGACACGTTTAGCTGTTTCTCTGCCGGGTATTTTAATGGAGCACCGTCGGAGCTGTAATGTCACCGAATAGAATCTCACGTCAACCTGCCCGTCAGAAGACAATGTATCGTTTGTCGTGGCAACGACCGGGGAATTCGGTTTATAAAGTAATTCGTTGAACGTGTCGTGGTGGTAAAGCCAAGTGTTTGTATCTGACAGAAAACGCTCATACATACAAGCTAACTTGGCTAACGTAGCCCCTAAGCTAAAGGTCGGTGGTCCAGCTAACCTTGCCGTTTGACTGCAAAGTGACGCAAATACTACAAGTCGGTCCAACGGTGAATTGTGTTTCAGTTGACTTCGAGTTCAGTAGCGTGTTTGTTTAAGAATGACAGTGGCACTGATATCTGATAGTATGCATTAAAACAGGCTGTTATGTAGTTCAATAAACCTCACTCGGTGCCACACACAGTACGGTGAAGTTATTGGCAACATCCCATCACTATCCGCAAATAGTTACAATGCACCCGTTGTAGAGTTGGTTGCTCGTACTTTGATTTAACACCAGAATTGCAAAGCTTCTTCTCTCAGTAAACATTTTTCAGGTATTTGCTCACTGGGTAAACTTAAATTGACAGTGGAGTCATAAATTAGCAACCGGGGCTAATGTGGACTCAAGATAACAGCTGGTTTGCAGACACTGGTCAGCCATATTTAGCAACTCTCCTACCGAGCCAGCTAACCTATTAGTGGTAACTCATCTTTATATAAGTGGTACAATATTATTAAATGTCTGGTCGTGCAAGGCTTGAAATTGCGTTGGGGCGTTATGCTGCAAAGCTTCTTATCTTGCTTGTTTTTTTTGTTTTTTTTTAAACGTTTTCCAATGGGTAACTTAAAATGCCGCTGTTGAGTGACGGCTCCGCCAGCCAATCAAATCGGTGCAGCCTCCATTTGCTCTTCACGTTGGTGTCCGAGTCCACTGTTACCATGAGAAACGCATGAGTTCTTCTGTCTGCTGCCCCATACTTGTACTCGACCACATGATGTTGTTGGTTTGCTTAGTGACACCGACCGTGGACACATTTTGTGTACCGGTAGTTATCATTAATGCATTTTTTCTTTTTACAAGCAAAGGAACAAATTGACTAAAACATTTTTTTTCTCTTATTTATTAACCTTGAAGAGCCTTCATCTAGTTTTTTAGGACTTAATTATTATGTGCAGTACTGACTTCACAGATTTTATGTAATCTATGTTTGCCCTATAAAATCTGAGATATGATTTCTTCAATTTAAGTATCAGATCCTTAATAAGACTTTAGAGGTGCTTTTTGCCTTGCTTCTGTTGCTGAATTAAGGTTTTTAACTGCCCCCGCTTGCCTCTTTGCTTTGTTTTAGGTCGTGCCGGTGAAGTGAGACACAGTCCCAAAATGGACCCCTCTGACTGAGACGTAAAAACACGTCCTGTGTTATGCTTTGCAGCTGAGTTAAGTCAGCAGCATTAGCCATGCCTCACGAGTAAAACCACCCTTTTTTTTTTGCTCAAAGCAATACAAGAAAACGAAAAAGCTTCCTACATGCCTCCCAATGTAGAGCCCCTTCAGTTTGTCCTGCTGGAGTGACAGCCCCCTCTTCCAGAAAGGTTCTGCCTTGTCCTTGCCCTTTTTTTCTTCATTTACCGCCCTAAAGTAACTACCCATCACAATGCTGCTCTGCCTGAAAATGGCCAACACCTGAGCTCCCATGCGTCCAGTGAGCACCGATTCAGACGGTCCTGCTCCTCCTGAGAACCTCTCTTGCCCCTGTCCCCTCGTGGGCCCCCTGTCTGCCTCAGAGATGTCCCTCCTCCAGTCGTTGGGTCCAGTACAAAGCTGGCTTGGCCAGGAGCTTGAGAAGTGCGGGATTGACGCCATGATTTACACCCGCTATGTTCTGAGCCTTCTCCTGCATGACAGTTACGACTATGACCTGCAGGACCAGGTAGGCTGACAAAATCCTACTAAAGTCTTTCTCGTTAAGTCACAAATTTTATAAAATGATTGACATATGCATGTGATGAATTGCAAAATGATTGTATGTAGGGTGTTTACACATGCTTGTTTGCGTGTGAATTTTTCTTTAAGATGAAGACATCAGTATTGCCTTCCATGTGTACATTGTTACACAGTTTTCATATGAAACGTTGTGACACATTCAAATGCTAAGCTACCATTTGTATTCTGGGCAGTTGTTATTGTCTGCTAACTTTCTAACTTTTGTTTGAAAGGAAAATGACATCTTCCTGGGTTGGGAGAAGGGAACTGGGAAGAAATGGGGCAAGAGCAAAAAGAAAGGAGCGACCGATCTGAGTCTGGAGGAAATGAAGAAGCAAGCAGCAGTGCAATGCCTCCGCTCTGCATCTGATGAAGTAAGTATTTCTGTACGTGGCTGTTGAAATCGTGGTTCTCACGATGTTTTTGAGGAGGGTTGTGTGTCACGTGGAACATCTTTTTTGTGATCTGTGCGATAATCAGTCCACATGCAAACCAGATCTTATCCTGGACTTGACCTTACTTTTATGAGACGTCTGAATGAAAACCACCCTGAACACATTTCGCACAGTAATGACATAAGTATCTCAGGAATGTGTTTCTGTACTATTTTTGTTGCCTGATAAGGTGCAGTCATGCATATCCTAATTGTACGAATGGCAGTGGATGGGCAGTGAACAAATATAGGCCATTATGGGAAGCCAGATTGTGAAATCAGTGAAGATCTGTACTGAAAAATGCATTGTCAATGTTTGGATGGGCTTCAACACCATTAGTTGTCATCAAAAGGGTTGCAGCATGGTCGGTATGTTCAAGGATGCTAACCAGGTGTAGAATAATTAACTCAAATATAAGTGAAATAATTTTAGAACTCATAAGTAAAAATGATAGTTTCTGTCTTTCTCTGTCTGCAGAAGAAACAGGCTAGCTTTGTTTACCTTTTAATCTGTGGTCAATAGTAAAGGGGTGGGCTTTAGTTGACACAGCTTGAAAAAACTAAAAGGGGAGGTTTGCAAGGCAAGAGGAGGAGAGTTGTATTCCTCTGGGTACTGGACTCTGCTCAGTGTTTTTTTCTAACGGCACACGCTGCACAGGAATGCAGCATTGAGCAGCAGAGTTGGTCGCCTGTCAGCTGACCCGCATTAGCACAATGATGCAAGGGGAAGAGTCAGAGAATACTTTGAAGTAGCATGTTAATGAATTTTATTTTCAGAAAGCAGGAAATGAGTGTCGGGAACATTGACGCAAGAACAAATATGTTGTGGTCTTTGTGGATCTGGGGCTGGTTATATAGTGTGAGCGACAGTTTTAATGTGGTTGTTGTGTCGTCTACAAACTGTCACATGTTGTGTTACTCGGTTTCAGAAGGAAGTAAATGATCAGGATATGCCGTCAACATGTTGTTGAAAGCATTGTGAGGAAATAACTGTTCTGCTTCTGAGTATTTTATTTTTTATTTAGAGCATTTGTGCACCACTGCTAAATATAGCACAGTCATGGCTGAGCATGCCTAAACTCTCACAAGTCAGCTGGCTCGAGTTGTCAACTGAGTGCCTTTCATTTATTCTTTTGGGTCATGTCGTTGGAAGCATTCTTACCTAAGGCTACTAAAGCTTTCAGCATCTGTCATGGTAGCTTGTTGTGTTGAAAAACACAATCTTTTTTTGTTGATATGAGTGCCTGCACAGCTGGCACTGTGTCCTGCTTAAAAATCCTGGACACAGCTTAATTTGCCAACTGTGCCATTTGATCTGTCTTTTGACCAAGTTATAAGTTCAAGCTTCGAAATCTGGTGCTTGAAATAGAACCTTGGATATCGAAATGTGCTGTTATTTTTAAACTCATGTAACAGAATTAATTTTGCACTCTTCTCCTGTACTTGTCACCCTTTTACAGAACTCGGGAATTGAAAGTTTGGTTGAAGAGCTTTGCTCTAAACTAAAGGAGATCCAAAACAAGCAGAAAGGTTTGACACCTCATTGTCATTTTTGGAATTTTTTTAGTAAAAAAAATTGCACCCTTCTAATATATTATTTTCTTCAAATGTATTCATTTATTTTTTACAGAGGAAAAGCGCATTAAAAAGAAATCTGATGGTTCTCAGTCTCCAGAGCGAGCCGAGTCCCCCTCTTCCAAGGACCAGGTGGAAATGTAAGCTTTGCAGTTTGTGTGTAATATCTGACAGCAGAACATGTCCCTGTTAATATCTATTAGAGCCAGATTGGGTGCAAATCTCTTTCCTCTTTCTGTTGCAGGTACTACGAAGCCTTTCCTCCTTTGTCAGAGAAACCTGTTTGTCTCCAAGAGATCATGACAGTGTGGAACAAGACTAAGGCCTGTGCATATTCAAGTTCATCATCTTCTGCAGCCCCACAAACCAGTACAGATACCTCCTCCCCCAAAGATTGCAACAGTGACGGCGAAGCTACAAAAGAGCGAACTGAGGCTTGTGGCACCATCATGTCTATAACCCACGAGAAAGGCCAGCAACGACGAAGCAAGAAGGAGAAAGAAAACCGACACCACGGTGGTGCAGCGGCAGAGGAGAAATCTTCTGTCCACTCAAAGAGGCAGATTAGACACAGGTCTGAGGGAAAATACCGACCCAGGTCTTGGTCTTCTGGCTCGAGCGAGGCAGGCTCAAGCTCAAGTGGGAACCAGGGTGACTCAAAGTCATCCAGAAGCAAGACAGTTAGAATAAGGCACAAATCCAGGGAGGCTACAAAGAATAAGAGAACACGCAACGCTGGGCAAGTGAAGTTGCAGATGAAAGTTATTGAAAAAGATGAGCGAAGAAATGCAGGAGGGAGCAGCAGCAGCGCAGCCGGTGGCACTGCCAAACAACCACAGCTTTACAGAAAGGGCAAGAGGCCGATGAAGGAGATTCGTAAAGATCCAGGCTGGATGGAAGCAAAGGAGTCCGGAGTTGAGGCCAGACACAAAAAGGAATACATGGAAGAACCTCTTTGGTACACCGAGCCCATTGCAGAGTATTTTGTACCTTTCAGCAGCCTACAAAGCAAGCTGGAGACAAAATACCGCAGCCAGGTTGACTCCCTGGATGGCTTTGACCTGTCGACCGACATGGAGAAGCTACCAGAGAAAATCCAGGGAATCTGCATCGCCAATGAGAACTACCAGAGAGCTTACTTGGCAGCAGGCTCGTTTGTGGACGGGCACTTCGTGGAAGGGCCTGGCGACGCGGAAGATGAGACAGCCGAACTCACCAGGACTTCAAGCTGCCCTCAGCCAGAGGATAGTAGAGATTTAGATGACGAGCATCTGTCTGAATTCACTCACTTCTATGAAGTTGACATTTATCAATCCATATTGGATACTAGTGCCTCAGACTCGATCCAAGAGAGTCGGATCTTAAGCATGATTCGACAAAAAAGCAAAGAGCAAAGAGACGTTGAGGCAGAATGTTGTTTAGTGTTAGATGGCCTTGAGCAGCAAGGGAAAAGTGCAATACGGGCAGACTCGCTGGAAACACCGGGATCTGTTGGATTCTTGATGGAGGATCTTGAAAACATGGTTCAAGTGTGGGGATGCTATTCACCTTCTACTTCAGAGGACATCGATGGAGAGAGCTTTATAGGAGACTCTCCCATTCGGCTCTCCCCTCTTCTTGATAGTGTCTCATATACCCTGAACAAACTGTCAAACGCAGGGGAGCCGCCCGTTCCTGAAGTGAGCAGTGAACCATCTGGTTTGAACTCATCCTGCTTCTCTCTCTTTGAGCTCCAGTACGAAAGCCCTACTTTTCCCTTTCCCTGCGACTCACTCACCGTTGGTCACGAAAACAACACAGATTCTAGTAGCTGTCTCGACCCACATTCTAATAAACAGTCTCGTTTGCTAATATGGACCAAAAATAGTGCCTTTGACGAAACTGAACACTGTTCTAACCTATCAACAAGAACTTGCAGTCCGTGGTCGCATTCAGAGGAGACTCGCTCTGACAACGAGCAGGGTACTGCTCTGGTAGAGGACGCTGCTCAGATTGGCAACGAAGAGACAAGCTGTGCTATCCCTCTTTCCGGTACATATCTAGAGGATGAAATCTTAGATTTCTTGCAAGATGACTCCGGCAAAAAGTGCGAGGAGGTCAGTGTCAGCACAGCATCCAATCAGACCTTTGCCAAAAAATCCAAATTAGAATCCGTCTGTGGAATAGCATTGGAAAAGGATGAGAGCAAACCATACAGCGCTGGCATGTTTTCGAACAACACAAACCAACAGAGTGACGATTACAGCTCAGGGATAATAAAAGACATTTGGACCGCGGTCGGAGACGGCAAAGCAACAATGTCGGGGCACGGAGAGGAGAAACTAAGCAAGGGGCTCTTCTCAGATGAGCCGGGTGCCTACTGTTGCAGCTGTCTAGAGGTCCAGGCGAAAGGAGTTCCGGCTCCGGGACCTCAGAAAAAGGCCGTGCAGCGGTCGGAGTATCACCTCTGGGAAGGAAAGAACGAAGAGCAGGACTTGGTCAAAAACAAACTCTCTAAGGTAGATGGTGCTGGGGATTACATGACTCCGTCCAAGCCCTGGGACTTGAACTCTGACAAAGAGAGCACATCGTTCATCCTCGGAGGAGTATATGGAGAGCTGAAAACACTAAGCGGGGACAAGAACTGGGCTGTCGTGCCACCAGGCGAGGGCAAGGATAGCCTGCTGAAGTGCACCGCTGCAGCTGCTTCCTCGTCCAACTCGGACATGCTCGCCATCACCGGCACCGATGTGTTCATGAACACGGCCAGCTGCTTTGCTCCCGGGCACCGGCCCCTGTGGAGGCCCCTCGTGTCCTTCGGGCAGAGTGACCAGGCCATCAGAGGAACTGGAGACGGATTGAATAAGGGATTTTCTTTGATCTTCCATGAAGATTTGCTTGGATCTTACGGAGGCTTGCGCAGCGAGGAGCAAGGTTTAGAGTACCCGTTTTCATCCTTCAACCTGAACAGTCCCTTCTCTCAAGTCCTCCATGTTGAGTGTTCCTTTGAGCCGGAGGACATGGCCTCTTTCAGTCCAGGGTTCAAGCCCAAGTCTATTCTTTGCTCGGACTCGGACAACGAAGCCATCCACTCTCGCCTATATGGCATCAACAGGACACAGTACAGGGCCATTCGCATTTCCCCCAGGACTCATTTTCGCCCGATATCTGCCTCCGAGCTGTCTCCTGGTGGTGCGAGTGATTCAGAAACCGAGACTGACAAGGAGGAGATGAGTTTCCCCACCCTGGCTCCCGTGGACGTCTTTGACGATCCTCAGGCAGACCTTAAACCCCTGGAAGAGGATGCAGAATGCGAGGGCCCTTATTATGGGAAGTCAGAACTGGAATCTGGTAAATTTTTACCCAGATTAAAGAAGTCTGGCATGGAGAAGAGTGCCCAGACCTCTCTGGATTCTCAGGAAGGTTCTTGTGCCCTCCTACCGATCGCTGAGCAAGAGATTTGCTTAGACTGCAAAACAACGGCAGCCGCATCGAGTGCAGGTGGGCAGACGGACGCACCGGTCAGCAAGGTTCCAAAGGAGGAATCTTTAGGAGAGAAGCAGTCCTGTTCATGTTCACCAGCAGGTCAGATCTCCAAGTTTGGGGTCGCTTACGACTTTGTTGGCGACGCGCCAGAAGTAAGAAAACTTTGAATTATCATTAGATTGTTTACATTAGTGAAACTGACCTGTGAATGGGCTCCAGTCATAGAATTTCAGGTGACCGTTTCCTGCAATACACTAATAATTTCATTGTTTTTTGTTTAGTTTCCTCTATTAGAAATAGGTGGACAGGGAGGAACTGGCAACCAGCAAGATGAGTGCTGGTGGCAAAACGCAATTTGTTCCCCCCTTTTCCCTGGCTCTCAATGTACAGGTAACCACAAGTTTCACAACACTTATTTACCCTCCAGTTTATACATAATTTGTTTGGAGATGCATATAATTGTTTAATTTAAGATGCTTTTATTTCCTACAGTTTGAGGTTATCACTTAACCTGTAAATCAAACGCTAACTGTAATGGCTTAAATACAGAGATCTATGTTCAGCCCTTGACAGTTGCCCAACAAGGACACCATCTACAAAGAGATGTGACTATGTTGTGGTTGGTCCAGATAGCATATCTGCACATTGATTGGTTTACGGCATTAATATTAACGACCTCTAGCATTTCGCCTTTTATTTAAATGGGAGAGTTTTAATAGGTCTTTAGTCCTGTGTTAACAGACTGAAGTAGTTATTGTTATATACCGGCTCTGATCAGGATCAGTGGAGGATCATTCTGAGAGGACTGCATTTTTGTACCTACCAGTTAGACACTTTGAAGTTCATTCTATATGTGGTCCAACTAGTCATGTTCCCTCTACTTATGCTTATTAAAAACTGGTCTGACACAGGCTACTGAACACAGAAGCAGCCTTTTCATTTAGCCAGTGCACCCATGTTTAACACTAACACCGAATGTTTTTAGGTTCAAAATTGTGCTTCAGTTTCCCTTTGGAACATACCAAACAGAAAAAAATCACTGGAAAAACGAACTCCGAGGTTGAAATCAAGTTACATGGTCAAAGGGTCGTCCAAACTGGGCCTAGTCTGGTGTCGTAATAAGTTCTTTAAAATGTGTATTCGATTTAAAGCGATACAAATTCAACCGAAAAACCACCGACCATTTTCAGTGTACTATGAGTCCTGTGTGTTAACGCAGAAGTCCTTGTGCATTGCTGGTGATTTCTGTTTGAACTTGTCTAACCAATGCAGATGGATTTTAGAAACCCATTGCTGACTCAGCGTACAGGTGGCTCCTTCTCAATGGAAGGCAGAGATACACCGGTGCATGCTGTATACAGCCATCTTACCATTTCATTTGTCATCTTTCTGCAGGGAGCAGCAACATTTGAAGCCTCCAGTTTGGCAGAGGACGCCTTTTGCTGAGAGGAAAAGTTTTCTCCACTCTTGTGACTGGACCTCAACCAGCAAAGATTCACGGTCACCCCAGAGCTGGAAAACCTAATGTAGGCTAATTTTATGAGACGCCTCTTGAAAACCCCAACACGTAACCCTGTTGGTTTTCATTTACTAACTTTAAAAAAAAGAAGAAAAAAAAGGAAAAAACAAAAAAAAAGAAGCAACCTTGTGTAATCAACAATCAGATCGACAGAGTGAAAATAGGAAAACTCGAAAAAGAAAAAAAAAACATGTCGTCTTTGAGTGATGCCATGAGCAGACATGCATTTTATAATTTGTTTCAGTTGATTCTATGTACACTGGTCCTTATCCAAGTCTCACAGTTAGCTAGTAGGGACAAGTTTTTGTTCTATCCTTGTCAGTTTTTTGTTCCCAACATTTTGAGTTTGAACTAAGATTCTGGTGGTTGGTGGTGTCTGAATGGTTGTGCATGTATGTTCGTCCAGCCAGTCTCACTCCTCTTTTCTAGTTGAACCTAATGTGTGAAACTGACCGCTGTTGCATCCTCTACTTTCCATCCTGAGTTCAGAAGGTTGAAACGAGGACGTCGAGGTTATTGCGTTGCATACGAAATTTGGGAGTTTAATTTATATAGTTTGTCCGGAGGACTTTCTGAATGCAAAGTAGAGAATGTGTGCAGCCTTCTTCTAAATATCCGTAAATTCCCTGTGTTTTGAAGTTCAAAGTCTGAGTTTTGAATGGTGATAGTCTTTCAAAAGCTAGCAGTAGACATAGTGTGGTTTGTGAGGCAAAAATAATAATAAAAAAACTTTAAACAGAAAAATAACTGGTAATTGAAAGGAGTTTTGTTGGCAAAAAAGAAAGAAATAATCTACTTGAACATGCTTTTTGGGGGGAAGGATTAAATAAAAAAACAAACAAAACAAAAAAAATAAGGCATAAAAGTGTGTTTTGGGGGATGAAAAAAAACCCACCATGAAAAGACATGACTACAGCCATTTCTGCAGACACGTGTTGGCACAGAGCGTAACTCTGTTTTATTTAATCTATTTTTTTTTGTAAAAAAAAACCCTATGGTACAGAAGACTATTGGTGCTATGAATATGTTCAAATATATTTTGAAGTTCCATGATATGGTTGTGATAGGTTGATGGAATAGTCTTCAGACAGACTCCATAATCCCTTTAAATAAAAAAAAAAGGAAAAAAACAGAAAAAAGCTCCCCAAAAAATTGTGAAGATAGATTTTTGCCTGATCACGCTTTCTGCTTAATGTGGTTTGACTTTTTTTTTCTTTTACATTTTAAAGTAACCTCTTAATTGTCAGGCCTGCCATGACTGAAACAGAAATACTATTTATAGGCATTTTAAATATCTTGTTTAAAATACACCTCAGTTCCAAGAAAGGACAAAATTAGCAATGGCTGTCTTTAATTTAACTAAACCAACCCATAGTAAAAAAATAAAATAAAAAACAGCTTTGGGGTAGAGAGCAAACCCCCCCAAAAAAAGCCGTAATAATTACACTAAGATACAGATGCTTTTTCCCATGTGAGATGTTTTTTTTCTTTTTCCTTTTCTTTGGTTTACAGTTGATCTTGCTGAAATGTTGATTTAATGTCTCACTGTCAATGTGTGGCGGAATTGACCTTGTGGAGGCGCTAGTTCTGTTTGGGTGTAGTGGAAACTTTATCTCAGAGAAACGCGGAATGCCTGCAAAACCCTGCGGCTCATTCAGGTGAATCCAAATGCATCAATGTAAAACTCAAACAATTGGCTGTAACAAAACAAAACAAAAAAAAAAGTAAGTGTGCTTTTTCAGCCATCCATAGGACCCCATGTTTGATAAGACTATTATGTTTTTGAACAAGTTTTCAGGATAGGAGTATGACTACATTGTTGTGTTCCACCAGGGAAGAGAAGCTTAGATAACTAAAAGAACCCCTCTAACGGTGAATAAAGAAGGCTTGTGTGCTGTAATGCACTGTCGCAGGGGGGAAAAAAATTCTATTCTACTTAGGGCTCGGCTTTGAAAACAGCTAGTAATAAAAAATTTAAGATGAACGCCCAAATGTTGTCCAGCCAAACGACACAGATTTAAAAAAAGACCTGAGAGAAATGGTGTGAAATGCATTTAACTTCAGGGTCTTTATCCCCTCTTTTTTTATTTTATTTTATTTTATTTTTTCTTTTGACAGTGGTCACATGCTCAGGAACTTTTTGAATATAAACCATACTCTACACTCAGACCTGTGACAGTGCATTGATGCATTAATGTAAAACTTTACTTTGATTGTAGAAGAGAAGTAGCTGGCAGGAGTTCCATTCGAGCTAACCGCTGAGGTAACTGTCACTAATTTAGAGCTATTAGTTTTAGGGAAGAAAAAAAAAACAAACAAAAAGAACTAAGCCATCGTAGATTGCATAAGCAATGCGGAGGGGTTCCAGAAACCCTGAGTTCTATGCAATACCTTGGCGTGCGGTCGACTTTAAACAGTACGAGGACAAAAGTCATGCAGTTAACTTTGCATGTGGATTATTTTTTGAGCCGGGCGGCGGTTGGGGGACACCCAGGGAAACAAACGGTGGAATGTCTCTGAGAAATAAAGCATGCAAACATCACACTCCATCTTTTTTTTCGGTTGGGTTACAAGACACATTTCGATTTAAAGAAAAAAAAACAAAAGGAAAAAAAAGCAAAAAGGAAAAAAAAACGACAAAAACAAAAAGAGGTTAAATCCGCAAAAGGATGTTTTTGACTGTGTGTGACTGTCGGTGAATGTGAGCAAGAAGCTTAGAGCACTTAAGACGGAATGGATCCCATCACATCTCCATTCATCCCCATTTCGGTAGGCCATGTTTTAAACGGGACATTGGCGACGGGAAAATGCATTCAGTGAAGGGTGTATGTATTTGGCATGACGTTGACAAGGTTTGCCGAGTTTTGATTGCACTGCGGTCTGAAGAGCATATCCAGCACTGAAAACTCAGTTTTCCTCGTCTTCTCATTCCCACCGGACGACGCATCCACCCTCCATCTCCATCTGCCCCCACCCCTCCAAGAGTAGCTGTGTTATGATCTCATGTACACCCTGAATAAATTATTTTGTTTCATTGTGGATTTTCTTAACATCTAATAAAGGAGTAAACCAAACCTCAATATGACTTGCTGTGATTCCTTTCCACTGGCACAAGTGAGGGGGAAATGAAGATGGCAATGGCTTACAATTCAACTCCATGGCCTCATGGTGACACTAAAGAGCTGTGAAAGGGTGATGGAGAAATACTTTTGTGGAGTCATTGTTTCAAAGCACTTCAGAATTAAAACTGAAAAAAAAATTTAGAAAAAAAAAAATATATACACATGAATTTATTTTAGTTTAGTTTTTTAAAGTCCTCAGTTGTAAAAACGATAGTTTCTATACTGTTATATTGTTCTTATATTTGCTTCACTTTAAAGAAAAAATAAGTAAATAATTATATCCCCTTGTGAAAAAAACAAAAAATATATATATATATATAAATGAAACGAGTCCATTTTTTTTAAACTGGAAAGATATTTGAACCGTTATAATACTTTCTCATATTTTAACCCAAACTTTTAGTTTTAGTCCAAACGTTTGAATTTGATGAGTACGTGAGTTCAGCGTAGTTTATTTAATTCCTTCCCCAGCTGACTTTTACGGAAATTTCTTTACGTAGAACACAATTAATTTAAAAGCATAACGTCCAATTTACGTCCAATTAAACCAGCTAACTTCCTGCACCGCTTAAGTCGCCCTCCTGAACAACGAGCACTGCGATAGGCTGCCAGGTTGATTATTAATGCCTTCAGGTCCACACAGGTGAATCCATCGAAGCCAGGCTCACCGTTCGGGACTCGATTACGCGGCACTCTCGACACAAGTTTGTTTAAAATGGCGGCTAAACCGAGGAAACGGGTATGAAATGTTGAAGATTTCGGCCAAATACGTTCATTTCGCCTGCTCGGCTCCGTGCGCTAGGAAACGGAAACAAGTTAAATTCCCCTTCGCGATGCTAACGCGGCGAATGAAGGCGTCGCTCGCGTGCTCGTTTCAAAATTGAAATCCGCTCGAGGAAGCGCCGGTGAAATTAGTGAGTTGGCGTCAGAGGCAAGTGCACTTTCGCGAGCAAGTGCAGTGCGACGCGGCGCCCGCGTTAAGCCGCCCCTCTCTTCCCTGTTGGCGCATACTCGCGACTGCAAATCTCTTCACTTTCAGTGCTGTTTTGTCGGCGTTAATGTGGGTGGAAAGAGCCATGGAGGGGACGGCGGTGCATCGGTAACCACAGCATCATCATGGACCACCCCGACCGGCGGCTACCTGTCACCCACCTGTAGCCTCCACCGGGCGGCGGCATGGCGAATACGACCCGCGGCATCCAGGACCGGAGGGACGATCCCTGCGGTAAGGCTGCCGTGGACCACCGTCTCGGTTGACTGCGATTGTCCTCTTCAAATCGCATTACACATTCACTTTGACAATATTACTTCGTCTGCCATCATCCGCGGTGGCTCTGTAGGTGGCTCTCTAACCAAACTCAACGCCTAAAATGGGAATTTTCAAGCACCCTCGCGTATTGAAAATGTACAGACTTAATAAAAAACGACAGTAAGATGTACCCATGTTATGAAAGCCAGCCCACAATTCGGCATACATAAAACATTGATCATTTGTGTTGTTAGAGTTAAATTCACCACTCTGCTTGAAGCTAAAGTTGATTCTCAGTTCTGCGCAGTATACATACGAAGTCCATTTTCTTAAAGGAATTTGGCACTGCAGCCCATTGTTGGGGATTTGTCTGTTTTGAATCACCTGAGCTGTACATTTTCCATTGGTTGCTAGCTACTATTGGAGTGCATGTTCAAAACTTTCCACAATACTGCAAGAGGTGCTCTTTCCCCCCTTTAATTTGATTTTAAAATGTATTTTACTGCAGGAAGTAAGGGGTTCTCAGCTTTGAACGTGCCTCAAAAGGAGCTTGGCAGAGCTTTTCTGGATGAAAACATACAAATGCTGTGCCACTGGTCGCTGCCATTGTTTTTCACCTGCAACGTGCAGATGGCACCACCTAAAATAATGTCTCATGCATTTCAGCTTTTGTCATTTTGTCAGGCTTAAGATGAATGTGTGGATGCATTTCCTTGTGTTACCTGTTGATATTGATTTTGTGACTGGTCGAGCCAGATCTGAGGGGTTGGCTCAGTCGGTTGACAATGGCTGTTGTCATTTTAGACTTTCTAAAGGGCAAGGACGCTCGCCTCCTTAGACTGGCCTTAATTCCACACTCCATTTAGTTCAATGCAAAGGGACTGAAGCCCTTTGGTTTCCAGTCATAAATTCTCTGGCGTTTAATAGCAACCGGTTTTGTTCGGTGACCTCTGATTGTAGTTTATTTCCAATGTAGCGCCGCAAACAACCTGTCGCTGTGTTTTGGGTCAAAGTCTGCCACGCTCACATGACAGCCTGCGGGTCAGTCTTTAGAGCTGCGTAATAATCTGGCTTTGCGTGTCACATTTTGGGGGAAAAAAAGGCCTTTGCCTCTTTGGATCGAAAACTTTTGCCCTCTTAATGCTCTGAGTAACAACCTCCCCCCTCTGTTTGGAAAAAAATAAAGTAATAAAAATGTCCTCTGCGAGGGCAGTTTTAGTGCTCGGAGACGTCGGCTTGTAGTTTAGCTTCCCAGCTGGCAATGAATGGCTGATGTAGTCCTCCTGGGGATTCGCATTACATTCCAGACTCCTGTTACTGCCTGGTTACTGTGGGATTAAATTTCACCTATCAAAGCTTCCCCACATTTTACAGCCATGTATCCAATGTCCTGTTAAATTAAAGACGGCTTTCTTTACTGATTACGTTTCAAATTTCTATTGTTTAAAGTTTTTTTTTTTTTTTCATCATTGCTTTGAATGCAAATCTTAGAACTATAACAAAGTAGTGCTCAGTGAATCAGCCTGACATTTTGTCTTGTACATTATTGCAGCGTACAATGTGGGAGGGGGGTCTTTTTTATAGTCATATATGCAATTCTAAAGGTGTTTTCACTTAGTAATATATCTTAACATATAAATAGGTGAATTTTAGATTGAAAGTAAATAAATGATAAGAAAAGATGAGGGAAACGTCTTAATTCTTAACCGAAAAACAGCAGACACACTGGGCTGTTGCTCAGTCACTGTCAGCTGAGTGTGCTGTTAAATGAGGAAAAGCATCATATCCTAGCTTTGGCAAGATAATTCTCTGCTTCCGGCTTAAATGTGGACAGATAAATTATGAACAAGTATTCAAATCTTTGTGGAATTATCTTATTTTCCACCCAAACTTCACAGAAATGGTCCTTAAATGAAGCTCACCTGAAAAAATAGTCTGATTTTACAGGAAACATCTTCAGAATTAATTCGATTTTCAGGTTAGATATCTGTCTGACCAAATTGAAATGTTTTTCATTATTTTATGCGTCCTTGTCGTCGAGTTAAAAAAGTTTGTTTCCAAATATGTTTGACATCCCTTCATTTAGATCTAAATTTACAATCTTGTATTTGCTGTTGATCATCAACACTTTCTCATGTCTTTGTCCTCAAGTTCATGCCGGAAATATTACAAAACCAGGGTTACGCCAATAAAAACAGTCACAGTAGGTCTAGCGCTTAAAGAGAATAGGCACTAGCATTTAAAAAAATAAAATAAAAATCCACACAAAACAGACAATTGACGATTTTCAGAAAATTATTTTTTAGAAATGAGGAAAAAAAGATTGACAGTCACCGATGGCAAGGTTATTCTAACTGCAAGCTAACTAAAGACCCTGTAGGTTTAACACTGCTGTACAGAGGGTCTGCACTATTGTCCGTTATGTGGAGTTTGTACCACTTGGGCTGACCATCTTATGGAGTATAAGCCTATTTTTGTTCATTTTAAGAATGAGTGGTTCACATAAGGGCTGTTTGCTGTGTGACTTTTCGCCCATTTTCATACCTCCTGCCGGTAAACGGTGAGTGTGGTCGCTCAGATGGTTTCAGTTAGCCTTTTATCAAGCTACCATCACATTACACAGAGCAGACTTTTTAACAAGTTGTATGTTTCTATTTGTTAATCGTCTTGTCAGTGAAAAATGTTTTTTTTTTTTAAGGTGTTTCTGGTGGCGGTGTAGTGGAGAACGGCTGCGTGGGCAAACAACCGGCTACCCAAAACCCGGACGGTCATGCCGACCATGTACCCACTTACAAGCCCTGCTGTTCCTCCACCCCCATCTACTCCAGCAGCCCCCAGAAAAATTACGCCGACGTGGACCCCGATAGCCACAGCTGGACCTCCCAGGACTCAGGAATCCCCACCCTGGAGATAAACCCTCCAGACGCCATCCTTCACAGCCCCCAGCGCCCGGGAGACGAGGGCCTGGCCCTCGACTCCAGCCAGGACTCCCCGGCCACCTTGGCTCTGGACGATGACCCGTCCGACGGCAACGCCCTGCGCAAGTCCTCCACCTTCCCCCGGAGCGGCTACGACTCGGTCCGCCTCTTCAGCCCCGCCCTCAGGACGTCCGCCTCGGCGGGGTCGGGGGCCGGGGGCGGAGCCTTGAGCCGCAGCGACGACATATCCGTGTGCAGCGTGTCCAGCATGAGCACGGAGCTGTCGGTGTCCAACGAGGACATCCTGGACTTCACCGTCACCTCCGACTCCAGCGCCATCGTCACCCTGGAGACGGACGACAGCGGCACGGCCCACTTCTCCGACGTGACGCTGTCGTCCACGCCCGGCAGCCGCGGGGAGCCGCGGAGTCCCGCCGGACCGCGTGGCGGCGAGCAGCAGGAGGACGGCCGGCCGAAGAAACTAGGACCGCTCGCAAACCTATTCACCAGGCAAGTCTGGGTTTACAATATGGTGGGATTGACCGCTCCAGGAGTGATTTGACCTGTGATGCTATAAAACTTTTAAGGGACTCCGTCTCCATGTTATACATCCATCTTTATTCTTAGAGACAACCGAAAACCTGCTCTTTTAAAGAGGCAGTGTCACTCATATCCAACAATATCAACCCAATCAGGAGTTCAAACTCAAATAAGACTAGATCAAAGGGAAAATGATTTTCAAAGACGAAAGATTAGTAACAAAATGTGGTTGCATCAGTTAAAAGTAATTGTTTGAAGGAAACCCCTCAGTGGGCCTCACAAACTCTTAATTCTAAAGTCTTGGCATCAAATGGATGTTGGATGTCATCATGCATTATGGTAATTTTAGTACTCATTAGTACAACATTCTCTTTAAACTAATATTGAAAGTAAAAGACAATACAGAAATGTGTGTATGTATGTGTATAATATATATATATAGATGTGTGTACGTAAAGCTAATTTAAATCAAATCCCCTTTTTAAAAAAAAATTCCATCTGACTATAACAGACAAAAAAACCCACATTTGTTTATCTTTTTTTTTTACCACTGATCAGTAACAGATAGCATGTCGTGATCAGTGGCCTAAAGTGAACTGTTGGAATGATTCTAGTTTACCTTAGTGAGGCAGTAACGCACCGTGCAGGGCATTGCTCAAAGCTGCTTTGCAAACCTGGCTCACCTCAGATGGGCCCTTGGCCCCTCCCACACGTCTTAGGTTTGGCACCTGACCCAAAAGCTGACTTATATACTCTAGGAGTAAAGGCGACTTTACTGGCCTCAGATCGCCTGCGGTCAGGAAAAATCCGGACAAATCTATTGGCACAACAGCTCAGTTAATGTATTTTTCCTTTGTTTACAGCCTTCACTATTCCCCATTTTGAAGTTGATTAAAGGCCCAACTAATGGCAACACAGCTAAAGAATTTCGTCATAGAAAACAAAGCGGTGAGACGTTCCGACCTGCCCAAAAAAAGATGTCCCTCTGAAAATAGATTATTGCGATGCTGTCACTTTAAGAGGGTCCCATTATATTTAAGGTGTTTTCCACAGTTTGTATTGGTAGGACATAGCTGCCAATTGGGTGAAGTCATACCATTAAATGCAGCTATCAGTCTTAATTTTAGGTGAAGTAAAAAAAATGAATTTCCACTGACCAGGACAGATGTGGATACCGCTGTAACCTTTAACCTTTCAGAGTACTGTATTGTCAGAAATGACCGCACAGATAGTTTTTAAATCAGTCAAACTGTCGTTTGTTTGGTCACACGTTGTGGTTTTTGCATCACTTGCCTTTCATTTCCTCTCACTCCTTCGCGACCTCTCATGCCCTGAGATTTCCTCGAATATTCAGAGGGAGGAGATTTCACGGCACCTCGTCTACATTTCTCTTTTTTTTTTTCTTTTTTTTAACATTGTGACCCAGCTGTTGGTGGAAAGATCTGCGTGCAGGTGTAATCCGACACCCGCTGTGTTGCTTTATGACACGTTGGCGTATGCCTGAACACCATTCACATTGCTCTTTGAGACAGCAGGACCCGCAGCGCTTTAAACCCCGTTATGAAACCCTGAGATTGGAAAAAATAAAGAGCCATTAAGTGTACGAAAAGGTGCAACGCCTTGTGCCAGAATGAATCCAACCCAGGAAAGTCTTTTAAAAAAAAAAAAAAAAATTATTTATTAATTTTTTTGGTTTAGAGTTTGTGGCAAATGAATGTCGTTTTGGTTGTCAGTGACGTTGATGTGATTTTTAGGAGTCGGTTCATATGTCGGTGTCTCCGAAAGGCTAAAATGTGACTTCTAAAGGCAGTTTCAGACAAGCTGCTGTAAGGACTTGCTGAGGGTTCCTGGGACTTTGTTGAAGCCTACACACAGGCACGATTTAAACACTCTCTGCTTGCTTCTTCAGCTCTGATGTATATAAAGAATATATATATATATCTTTATTTATCAGTGTACAATGAAAAAGAATTGGGTCTTCACCAAGTAATAAAATGAGAAAAATACGCATGACATACGGCATTGTGTCACTATATTAACAAAAACTTAGACAAAGTGTGGCTAAAGGCTGGATGACCTAGTCTGTCTCGCATCATTTTGGAATTGCTGTGTCCTCATTTGATTGAGCTTTGCAGCATTTTGTCTTTTTAAACGTGCATATAACACTTCAGTTCTTTTCTTCTTCAGACCCTCTGCTGTAGATGGGCTGCTGTGTTTGGGGTCACTGTCCTGTTGCGTGACTCGGTTTGAGCCAAACTAAAATAATTTGGTGTGGGGGGGGCTTTCTTGTCGATTCCGGTACTGCATGGCGTTCTGGTCCTATAGCTGCAAAGCAAGCACAAATGATCATGGCTTCACTTGACACCTTTTCCAAATAATCAACAACAATTATTGTTTTTGCACGCACGTTTGCACATTGGTTTAAACTTTTTTTTTTTAACCTTAACCATAAGACTTCCACAAGAGGAAAACTTATTTTTTTCTTTCTTTTTGTCAAGTAGGCAAGCATAACCCCTACTGAATCAGAAGATTCACCCTCCCCCACCCCCCCATCAAAGGGCATTCATACTGCTTTTTTTTTTTCTCAGTCCGCTGGTATGTCATTTGAATATTTTTTAATCATTCTTTTGTTTATGCTGAGCATCAAGCTTAAAGGAACATTAGGGATAGCTGGTGGATTAGGGTGTATTTGGATCAGCTGAAGGATCTTTACTGATGTATTTCCTCCTTGGCATCGTTCAAGCGTCATGGAAAGGAGCAGTCAATTTTGGAGACACATTCCTTAAGTGTCAACACACTGGTGACACATTTTTACACAATATCCTGCTTTTCTGATGGGTGTTTTGTCCAATGTTCCCATCTGTTTCTGGAAATATTGTCTAGAAATTGTTCATTTTAGGTTAAAACTTGTCAAACATGTTAGTTTAAGTGCGAAATGGGGCATTTGACACATCAATTTGAGCCTCTGCAAGTCTGGAATTGGAATATGAATTCATTTTCTTTAATAAATCAATTCTAAAGACGCGTAACACTTTGTGTTATGTGACGGTCCTTCACCTCGTTGCCACCTCCCTTTACGGCTTTCCTATCTCTGTTACTCATTCCCCCGACGGCCGCTTCAGCCCACTGTTCCCCTCAGCCATTCCTCTCCTCCAATCTGTTCTGCCGGGCGTCTCGCCCAGGAGGCGGGGAGACGCACGGGAGGAGTTTGCTCCTTCTCACTCTGGCTTTACCCGGACTTCTGCACAGGACATTTCCACTGTCACTACAATCACAACTATGGACGCCAGGCCAGGAGTGTCGTCTGAGGGCGAGCTTTGGCTTTGATGTGAAGTTTGTGCTCTCCTAATTATATATATTTTTCATTTAAAAAAGAAGAGGCGTAACTCCAGGTTTCTTAGTCTCGGTGGATTTTGTTGACAACGGGGAGAATGGCAGCCCCGTCTCTTCTCCTCTACATCGACAGGTAGGCTAATTGGCAAAGTTTGGCTGCCATCTGATCCAAAACCCAAAGCTTTTTTGTGACAAAGTGCGAAAAACTTCCTCGCTTTGACTGATTCTGGGCCAGACGCACAGTCTGTTCTACTGGGGACAGCCCGGAGCTGTTTTTCCCTTCTGTGAACCGTTTTCTGATGGGGAACATCTCTACAGTCCCTGCCCTCCCACTTCTTGTCGGGGCTTGTTATAGGGATTTCCGCACCAGCTGTCGAGCGATTTCTGAGATTTTCGAGCTGCTGCAAAGCCTTCACGGCCCCATTTGCATACATGGAGCCTGAACAACGGCTGTGGATAAACCCTGAAAATCTTTAGGATTCTTTAGTCCCGTCTGGCTCTAGCCACAGTCTTTCGGCCATCACACCAAGGCCCCGGCGGGATGCAAATCCAGTTTTATTTTTAGTTATTTTTTTGTTGTTTGTTTGTTGGTGCATGTAAAAGCTGACAGCGAGTGTTAATGTTTGCCTCTTAAAGTAGGCACTGCGTTGGAACTTGGCCTTCGCTCTGTGTCGGATTGCCCGGAGGTTACTCAGGTTCAGCACTCCCTAGAGAGAGTTTACTTTCCCTCCCAAGAATACCACAGATTTGCTGATATTTTAGCATCAGTAGTTTCAGCTTCGAGTGGTTTCGTCACTGAACCAAGACGTGTTTCTTTCAAAGTGGTTTGCCCTTTTTTCTTTTTAAACGCTTTTTTTCACGTCTTATCTGCCTTACATGCCTATCTCGCATGTTTAAAAAATTTTTTTTTTGTAAAATCCCAGTTGTTTCCATATTTAATTTTTTAAATTTTTTTTATTACTATTCTCATGTTCATGTGGCATCTTTCCCTAGGTGGTAAAAGCACCTCAACTTATTGTTGACTTGGAGTTGCTTTAAGCAAGTCAAAGAAATCTTGAGTTTAAAAAAAAGAGAAAAAGAAAACCCTACTTGTACATTTCCAGGCCTGTATTTCTGCTGAGCTTCTCCCAGAAAAACCGAAAAGCACAGCCACATTGTCTCCCTTTGCTGGCCGCGACCACCTGACCTGTACTCGGGTTCTTTAATCCTTAAGGATGCCAGAGAAGTTGGAGTGGCCTTGAGCTGCTTTCACCATCTCCTCCGGTATCGGTGAGCAGAGTGGAAATCGCGCAGAAGCGCTGTGAAGATTAAATGTGTGCTCTGAACTGTAAGGTCACTTCTGGCTCAACCAGTCTCGTACATGGAATCATCAGATGTCGATATGCAACTTGCCAATAGTGACCTATTTAACTGCGTGAGACTGGAAAGACTGGACTCCTGCTATGTCTGTAGGTTCCCATTAAAAATGTCTGGAAAAGGTTCACAAAAGCAGTTTTTTTTTTTTTTTTTTGTTTTCTTCTTTTGAGGCCTTTATGGACAGAAAGTGGCTGGTTTGTCCACATCAGTGTTGCGTCGTGCTGTTCGCTTTTCCTTCCTCTTTGCCTTTTAGGTGTGGAAGTCTTAGTTGGTCGTTTCCGTGCTACTTTGTGTTGATCTTTCTTTGTTCCAAAGAAAACCTCGAGCTCAGAAACTGGTCCCTCTCACTTGTGTTGTGACTGATGTGAATAACTTCTTCTTTTTCTTATTTTCTTAATTGCACACACCACAGATGGAGCCTACACTTCCTCTTTTATGGTAGTCAGCCCACTTAATTTTCGTAAATAAGGTTGTTTTTTTTTTCCGGTCGGACTAACGTAAAAACAGGTGGAATTTGAATTTGCTTTTATTTGAGAAACTGAAGGCCGTATTATGACGGGACGGCTGCTCAGGGTGGTAAAGACAATTGCTTATAACAAACTTGGACCTTCTTACTTCACTCTTTGACTCCATCTCTATCTGCCATCTCGTCTTCACTCTTGTTTTCAAGATGTTTTCCTAAAATCCTGTGTGGCATCGAGCGATTAAATGTTTCACTATGCAAATTAAGTGTTTGGGCTTAGAATCATCCTCAGCATCCTGGTTGACTATATTGAAACCACTTATTTTTATATCCGTCCTTTTGCCAAAATCTGATCTTGAATGGTCTTGTTTGTTTCTTTTTATTTATTTATTTTTGTTAGAGATGGTTTAGAAACTTGTTCCTTGGGTCAAAGAGACTGATGTATTATTGTGTATTTATGGCCACTAAATCAGGACCTCTAAATAATTTTGTCACGCATCATCCACCACTCATGTGTCTCATCGTCTTGGATGTCGGTCATAGATATAAATGTTGTCACATTTCCCAAAATTGGTTTAAACATGGTCAATTTCAATTAAAATGTGAAAGATTCTGCCATATTTCTCTGACTGTCTGTTTCACGCCTTGTATCATGGACACATTGGAGTAAGGCCATCTCATTTTCTCTCCTTCCTGTCGGGGACTAAGTGGGATAAGGGTCAATTAATTATGGAGACAGGAAACGGTCAGCTGGTCCAGAGATCATGTGGATCCAGTGGGGACTTTTGTGTATTTACATTTTTCCTATCCCAGATTCAGAAGGTTTGAGCCCATTTGTTTGGTGCAAAGTGTTACTTGTGTCAGCTAAATCTCCACCAAGGCCGACAGCCCGCTGTGTATATACAGTATCTTATCGTTTCATGAGGAGAAAAGATGACACAAAGCAGCTACTTTTTGATGATTCAAATAAGACAAAAGCAACACGTGGGATCCTTTGATGTGGCTAGCCCCATATGATACGCGTCCTTAGAGGGAGCTTTTCACTGGGCCCGTTTTTTTATTTATTTATTTTTTTAAAATGTGTTTTAACAGCCGAGATCCATTCAGGCTTTTAATGAAATCCCCGGCGGCTCCTCATCCGAAATAAGCGACAGGATTAGCCGTCTGAGCGATGAGAGAAAGGGGCGTCCCCGGCAGCTCGGCGTGTGGCCTTTTAATCCCAGAGATGCTGACGCCTCGCGTCCTCGAAGGCAACAGTCAGGAGGTGTTTAGGTGTGTGGAAACCTGCGACGCAGTGAAATATAAAACTCTCCCCCCCAGCTGATTGCTGGTTACCTTGTTTTTTTTTTTTTCCCCTCTCTTTACACTTCGTGCTTTCTGGTTTTATGAGCGCTTGGACCGAAACCAGCCCGCACGTCCTCATACGTTCCCTGTTCGTCCATTAATTTGTTCCCTGTCTTCCGATAGGAGCCTGTTTGCCCGGCGGGCGAAGGACAGCCGGCCCGTGGAGCAGTGCGATCCCGGCTGGAAGCTGTTCGGGAAAGTCCCACCTCGGGAAAGCTCCATCAAGGACCCCAAGAAAATACAAAAGGTCAGAGCCTGAATCCAACCCACCATTCAGGAAGTGGCGCGTTTTCTGTGGCGCCCGTTCCCCGCCACAACATCGCAGCAGAACAGAGAGTAGGGGGGAGGCAAAAAAAAAAAAGTTATTTATCTGAGAACACAAAAGGGAGCACCTCCTATTAAGCTTTAATTTTTCCCAATCTCCTCGGCTGTACAGCCCGTCCTTTCCTCCGTGGGAGGATATCACTCCCACGGACCAACAATAGATTTGTTTGCTTTGCCGATGATTTGTTTGGCTCCTCTGCTCTTGTTTTGCTTGAGGCTGCCGCAGGACAACGGCAGCCGTCTCTCACACACACCGCACACACACAAAAAAAGCCTTGAAGAAATTCCTAAAAATATTTGTAAGGGTGCAACCGAGGTGTGTGTGAACCTGATGGCCCCCGTCAGCTGGGCTTTATCTCGCCACAGAATGGCCTTGAGCTTCAGATGAGCAGTTAGAAAAAGATTTACAGTCAATTTTCTTTGATAAGAGATAAGAACCGCTCCGATAGGTCTCTTAATATGGATTTATGAAAAGTACCTCGTCTTTAGCAATAAAGGACACGCCATAAGCGAAGGCGTTCGGTACCTGGAGCAGAATTAGCCCCAAGCAGGCACTCTCCCAACAGGTGACCCAGAGTGACAAAGGCTATATTTAGAGCTGCCAACCCCTCGCTGTTTGGTTTCAGCAGTTCAAAGAAGGTACGATGAAGGAGGAACCTCTGATTCTGGGGTGAGCAACTAGATAAGAAGGGAGTGGACTTGTTTTCTCAATAAGGTGTGATCAGGGCCTCAGTGAGCTGTGACACCACTCCAGAGGATACAGCAAACCTTGGCTGATTTATTTATTTATTTGAAAAGCGACTAATATGTCAGGTGTAGCCGTTTTGCTAATTTCTGTTTGTTGACAACAGCAGGCTGATTGGAAAATGGCAAAAACAGAAACCGAAAAAACGACCATAACAAGAGAAAGAATGTTAAAAAAGAAACCCCACAAAGGACAGTGAAAGCTAAAGGAGCTTTAGAAGTTGTTCAACACCACATTTGAAAATACAGGAAGATGGAAACTCAAGGAGATGGAAAACCGTGGCGATACTGACGGCCCCTCACTTTTGACAAATCGTTCCAATTGAGTCAGGTCCGCGTTCACAAGTTGTGCCTTTTCCTGTGCACCAGACATAAGTGTCCTCTGTTAGACCACTAGCTGGTGACAGAGAGTACTTTAACCCCCCCTCTCACGCCTCAGGCCCAGGTAAAGAGCAGAGTCGCTGTTCACCAGTTAAATAAACCCTAAGTACAAAAAAGCGAGGTGTGATTAGATCTTTTTGTTGTCCTTCTCTTAGACCTGTTAGTGGGCTTCCATTTGCTTGCTCTGTGTGCATTGTAGGTTTTAAAGGGCCTGTTTTAAGTGTGGTTTGTTGAGTTTACCCATCGGCCCTATTAAACCCACCTATATTTATTCAGAATTAGGCAAGCGTGCTCTTATCTGTGGTCGGAACCCTATACTCCGTCCGTGGCATCTGTTTACACGGGTAGGATTTCGGGCTTTTGTCTTGGAGTTGTTGTCCTTCGAGGGCGGGCCTCGGCAAAGAGTCTGTTCTTCTCACCGAGTGGCTTTTATGAAACGAGGCAGAATTAATTAAAAGTTGCGAAACAGCGTTCTGAAGACGGGATGATGTGGAAACTAGTGCTAATGTTGCTCTCCTATTTTTTATTTTTTATTATTTTTTTTATAAACAAAGTGTTCTTCAACCTTTTAGCAAAAAAGGCTTTTTGCACGCAACATTATCATCACTCCTCAAATGCAGAGATGATTTATTGGCTCTATTGAAAGGCTGAAAATCCACAAATCTGTCTGCCAAAAAGAGAGAAAAAACTTAAAGGAGCTGCTGCATTTCCTCTTTAGGAACCAGGGCCTGTCGGGTTTTTTTTTGTTCTGCTCCCTCTCTTACAATCCAAAGAGAGATATATATCCAACTCCCCCCCACAAAAGGCACCAGAACGGAGGCTCTGCTATTATGTCAGAATAATCCCGGGCATTCAGATTATGATGGGAAAAGTAGTAAAAGTAGATTTAAAAAACAAAAACTTTTTATTTGTCAAATTGTCTATAATTTTGGGAAGCCAAGCGAAATATAAAACGGTATTATTATATGCAGTGGGTAATAACGGTGTCAAATATTTGAATGAAGGCGAACGCGTACATCTGGGTTCGTTTAGGGGAAGAGGGGCACGAGACGTCAGCCTCGCGCGGAAGCCGATCCGTGGCTCCAGGCTCGATTGGCGGGCCTGGCAGGGAGCGGCGCGAGCGCAGAGCGTTGGTTCGCGGCGGCGATTTGCTGACGAATCCCGACCGCTCAGAGAGAGAGAGAGAAAGAGGGAGGGAGAGAGAGAGGGGGGGATAAGGAAACGCAGGGTGTCATGCAGCAGCCGCATCCCTCGCAATGCGGGGTGTGTCCCTCTGTCGGCGGCCGGCCTGTCACCTCCGGGGTGTCCTGTTACCGGGAGCGAGGGCTCTGGAGCGGCCGCCATGCTACGCTAGGGCTCTGAAAAGGACCCCCCACCGGAGGACTGGCCGCCTGTAAGGAACCGCAGCGTTCATGGTAAGTGAGCGGCTCGGCAAACCGCTCGTCTCTTCTCTCCCCCCCCCCCCCCCCCGGTCTGTCAGAAACGTAGGGCACTAGTGGCTCGGGCTTGAAAGGGAAGGCAGCACAGGAAGAGGATGGCTCGAGTTGCACACAATAGCCTCTTTGAGCTCACTGCAGCCCCTGTGTGGGAAGCGGGACGATTATCTCTGTGTAAGACCAGTTATTTTAAAGAAAAGGCCTGTCTTTTTTTGCCCCCCAGAGACGCATTCCTATCTAAATAAGTTTGTTTTTCCGGCTTTATTTTATTTATTACATAATGTATAGTAAATTATACATAAGCAGACAAGCGAACAATAATGGGACTAAAGCATTAGTGAATACGGGAACATGTGATTAATCGTTCTTTTCTCTTTCTCCATTTCCTCTGTCACTTGTATTACATTGAAAGAACACCATGAAATAGAATCCTAGACCATCAAAGGCTGGTCCATCTGGGTTTGCCCTCTAAATGTCAACAATTAATACTCGGCGCATCTTTTGATTGGTAGCTTTTAGCTCACTGTAAAAACGGAGTGAAAGAGAACAAGAAAAAGGCCCTTTCTTCTCCTGACATGACGCTGGAGGAGTTCATAGAGCAGGAAATGTTTTCTATCCCAGGACACTGGTTTGCTCCTCATTCTTCCTTCCTGTAGTCCTTCTGCAGCATCCTTCATGCAGCATCACAGCTATAGACTTCCAGGAAATGGGGTTCACACTAATATTAAACCCCCTGTTGAGCAGCCTGTAACTTTAAAGTGGGAAGATTGGGATTCTGTGATTATTACTTTCTTTATTTAGCCAAAAGCTTTAAGGCGAGGCCTCACGGCTTGTTTGAGAAGCTTTATTTCCCGACTTTGCTGGTTATATCCTTGCAGCGTGTGCGTGTTGTGCCGACTGCGTGCGGCAGTGCGATGTGTTCAATGCTTGCTCACCGGTGGTGTATTCACTGCAGTGATTTTTACAAAGTAGCGTCTCATTGGATTCGGCAGTTGTTTTTTTTTTATATGTCAGAGTTCACCATCTGACAAGTGCATCAACAAACTAAAAGCCAAAGGCAACTCTTCCCACTCGTATTGTGTTTTATTGTTTTACGCCTTCAAAACGGAGCACGACTGTTTTAGGATCCATTTTTTTACATATGAAACAGATGCGAATCAACCTTAAAGCATTATGTCAGCATATATTTACATTTTTATGTGTTTCAGCATCTGTTATTAAATTCTTTGGGCCATTTGAAATACATTTTGTTTACTGTATTGTTTTTTGTTTGCCTAAAGAATTCAAATGAGAATCAGTTTGAGAACCCCATCACGTTTGATCTTTTAATTGGTCTGTTTCTTTAACCTATTTGAAGTATTCCCGCTTAAAAGCCTGAGAAAGCGAGTTGCTATTCTGGAAAGCGAAGCGTCGAGCTGCCCGTCGACTCAAAGGCCAGACTCGCCTTTTTCCGCTTTCAGAGCGAGTCGGGCTGCCTCTAGTTAAAGGTTGAAAGTTGAAGGACGTGAGCGCGATGCCAGGCGAGGCGCCTCGCTCTGACCTTTCACCGCCCATCATACATTATTCAGACTCCCCATTTTCAAGAGGATTGAGAATAGAAGCAAGGATCGGTGGCCCAGGCCCCGCATCGTGGAGCTGCTAACAGAGGAGCTGTAAAGGCAGCCAGCGGGAGTTGGAGCTCCTCCACCACCTCCAGGACACCGGGGAAAGGCCCGTTGCCCCCGGCGCCAGGTTAACAGGGGACATTAGCCGACCGGCGCTGAAAGCTCCTCCTCAGGGGACGCCGAGTCCCCAGGCTTCTGCTTTTTTTTTTTTTTTTTTTTAGTGTCGGATGGTGCATCCATGAAACATAAGGGCGTGTCTGGGTGTCGCTTATTGATCTAGAAAGATGTTTTATAAGCCATCCGAGTCAGATCGGATTCAGACACACAGCTGAAAGAGGATTGTATGTTGCCAACCCGGAGAAAAGGAGTCTCTTAGGTCATGAGAAGACGCTCATTATCTACAACTTCTGTGTTATTACAGATGTTATTTTTAGGTATTAAACAGCAGAACAAATGCACATGCCATTCCAGCTTAAAGCTCTGCTCCACAAATTCTAAGTAACTCATAACGTATCACTTCAACTTGGGTGAGTTGTTTTTGTTTTCAAATATCTGTCACATTAAGATGAGGTTTGTAGGTCTTTTTCCCATCGCTTTTTCTCTCTTTTGCGTCACCTTTCATTCTCGGCTCTCCATCTCCTCCTTCCGTCGTATTATGCTAATTTCTTTCATCGTGCCAGCATGGAAGAGGGATTCCCTGCTGTTGGGATTCTTTTTTAAGAATTTTCTTTTTTATCTTTCTCTTCTCTCTTGTTTTCTTTTAGCAATATCTTAGAAGTCGAAATGGCTGCTTTGGGCTACACAAATGTTCTTTGATTCAAAGCTTTAAGACGGAGCTTACCTGGCACATTTGATGTTGTTTAAATATTTTTATTTTTATTTTTGGGAGTTTTGGAAGCTGGATACTGGCTGCTGTGCTTTTGAGCTTTGATTCTGAGCCGAATCGAGACTGGGTTTCTTCTTAATCCTAATGCTATTTCTCGTTGCTTCCAGACTGAAGCAGCTCACCTGCTTTTTGAGTCTTTTGTTGCGAGAGTCGGCTGATAGATTCACGGCCCCCTGGCAATAAATTGCTGTGCCTGCAGAGTGGACTATCAAACCAAATGTATAACTAATTGTTTGAGTCAATTTCCCCTCCACATTTAAAGGCAAATAACAATAAGCTAATTTATTTTCCTGCTCTTTTCAGGCTCAGCTAATGTTTCTATGAGATAGCTTAACGCTAACACCATAAAAGCGGAGCATCTCCCATAAAGATCACTGATCTTTTACAAATAACAGGGATGGAGTTGTTAATGTTAGCTGCGAGCAATCATCGTCATGGCTACCAACACCAGGCTATTAACTCTTGCTCCTTTATGCATTTTCCTTTTGCGAGGGGAGGTAAAAAGGGTAACCGAATTACTTGCCTGTGAAACGGCAAAAAGGGCAGCAACATGAAAACGGGTTAACGGCGCCAGACGTTGCAGTAGCAGCTCCGCATGAACACACACACTCCTGCTGTGGAACCAGATTTTGTTTTTTTCTGCCTGTGTTTTTTCCCTTGCTCAGAATAGTGTGTGAGCGCAGCCTATGTTATTAAGCCTGCTCAAGGGGCTATTTCTGAGACTCACCCAGCCACTTTTGCATAGTGAGTTTCCCTCTTTTTTTTTTTTCTTTTTTTTTTTAATGAATCAGGAAGACGGTGTGAGATTTCCCGGGACACCCAGCTATGCCGCCCAACCATGTGGCCTGTAGGTCAGCTGCTAGTTGGCCTGGAGTTAAGCCGCTGGACGGCCTCAGGCGCGTCACCCTTGACTGTCACATGGCCTCGCTTTGCTGCGTGCCCCACATCTGACTCTCGCCGTGGAGCAGAAACGGGGCATTCGTTAAACACCAGCTGACAAACACTGTCACAAGGTTGTCTGGGAATTTAGCCATTTTTCTTTGACTGTAAATGCATAGATAAGTGTCTGCTCTTCCCGTTTCTTTTTATCGGAATTTTCTATGCCTCCGTTCTCTTTCCCACTTTCGGCTGTTTATCCTGGCCAGAGCATTAGTCACTCAGCCAGATGTCTATCGGTAATTACTCGAGCAGCGTCGAGTCACTGATCTGCACATTTTCCTCCGTTCTTCATGTCCGTCCACATTCCTAGTGCGCGCCGCCACCAGCAGCAGTGACACTGGAGAAAGGGCCAGAGGGGGGCCGACCTCAGAGTCCGAATCTGCCGCTTCCTGTTCCGCTCGGAGTTTTACCTTTCCATGTCTCGATTTCAGGAATATGAAACGAAGAGTAGCAGAGCTGGACCCGGCAACCCGACGTCTCCCAGGCAGGGTGTGAGGAAAAACCTGGACTTTGAGCCCCTCTCCACCACTGCGCTGATACTGGAGGACAGACCCGCGTATGTAAACACACCCCACCCCACAACAAGCCGTCCTCAACCCCCCCCCCCCCCCCACCCCCCCATTCTCACTGGCTCTCAGCTCAATTTTCTTTTGGGGACATTAGTGTAGTTTTTCCATCCCCCTGCATTCCATCTTTGTCTGTCCGTCTTTCTATGTCGGATCATTAGACCCCATCTAGTATTTTTCCAGCTCACTCTGTTCCGGTTTGTTTCACAGTTGGTAAAAGAGAAGAGCTACTGAAAGATTAATGGCCCTCTCTGAGCTTTGGCTCCACTACTCTGCCCCCCTCCCCTCGGTTGACCGTTTTGCTAGCAGACATTGGGTTCCTTTTGTCATCTCTGCACAGGACAACATGAATGAAAACTCATTCAGCAGCAAAACGGAAAAAGGAAAACTTTCCAACTCATTTAGTGTGCCCAGAAATAAAAACAAAAACATGCAGCATGAGTATTTTTTTCTGTTTTTTTTGTTTTTTTTGTTCTTTTTTTCTTTTTTTTTTTCAGCTAATAGCTCTTTGGGAATAAACTTGGCTGTCAGGCCGATTGTCATTGATCCAGCTGGACACAAAACAGGAACTAATGCTGTCTTTGTAGGATAGCTTCAACAGATATAAAATAAAGCTGTGAAGACACCACACTTGTTTGCCCCTTACGGGGAGGTATCTTTTTGTGCTCCGCGGCTCACAGGTGACCTTAAAGAACTTCTCAGATACAAGAACTGTACCCTCAGACGGCCATTTTAAAAGATCAAAGGAAAGCCTGGCTGCTCGGAAACCAAATGTAAATAAATAAGGCTGATATGTTTCAGAATATAGGCATCTCATTTTAAGTGTACAGAGCCGTTTATTTAATGTATGATCGTAGTCAGCTGCTGTTTATTGTGAAGGATTAGCTTAAACTAACGCCACGTTATTTGTCATCCATACTTGCGATGCTTTTAAAGTCAAGTATCCATCTCCAAGCCTCATGAATAATGCAGGTGGAGCTTGGAGAACACACAGACGCTAACCCATTTTCCCTTCCACCTGTGTGCGTTTAAGAAATATATATATTTATTTTTTATTTTTCAGCAATCTGCCAGCCAAGCCTGCAGAGGAGGCCCAGAAGCACAGGCAGCAATATGAGGAGATGGTAGCCCAGGCCAAGAAGAGAGGTGAGGCCATCGTGACACAGACTCCTGGTTTACACCACCCCCCCCTTTGTTTTCCTTTATTTTAGTATTTAACCACCTCTTCTGTGCAGAGCTGAAGGAGGCTCAGAGGAGGAAGAAGCAGCTGGAGGATCGATGCAAGCTCGAGGAGAGCATCGGCACCGCCGCCCAGACCTGGAACCAGGAGATCTTACCTAACTGGAGTACAATGTGCGTTTCCGTCTTTCACCGTTGAAACTGTTATGCGGGGAAGCAATTGGACTGCCTCGGATACGTGATTTAGAGGCTCCTTCTAGAGGCCTGTGTGATTAGATTAGATCAAATTTGCATAAACCGAATAACTCAACGCACCAAAAGGGTTTCAACGCTAGATCTCTGCTCTTCACAAATCAGACGTTAGGGCCTCAGTAAAAAAGATGAATTCACAGATGAGTTGCTGTGGGCATTTTTAAGGAAATGCTATTATCAACAGACCACTGTTAGGCATTTCGCTTCGCACGCTTACGGCGTTCTCACATTTGTATTTAACACAGTGTCAGAATTGGTTATATGAGGAATGCCGCTCTTATTGGTTATATGAGGAATGCTGCTCTTCATTTCTCCCCCCCAGAGAGCACTTGTGTTAAGATTGTCTTTCCAAACGCCTGGCTCCACCTGCTCCACCTGTTCTCCTCTTGTCCACTCACTGCCACATACGCCAACACGGCCTGAATGCACAACAAAGCAGAGGCTTGAAAAACACGCTTGGCTTGGTGCGCACGTTCAGCCGGAGTAATTTCCTTCAAGCCCTGCAAAAGAGGAGATGACTGCCCCCATGTGGCTCCATCTGATAAATTAGATTTTGTTTTATTTACACAGCGCCAAGTCACAACACATGTCATCTCAGTCCAATTTATGCCATTTAGAATCCATTCGTCCATCCATTTGCTGTGCTGCTTATTTGTAGGAGGGCGGTGGGGGGCCCGGAGCCTATCCCTTCTGTCATAGGGCGAGAGGCAGTGTGCACCCTGGACAGGTCACCAAGAAACAAACTACCAAACACTCACACTTACCCCCATGGGCTATTTAAAAGCCTTCAATTAACCTTACATGCATATTTTTGGACTGTGGGAAGAACCAACAGTAACTAGAATCAATCAATCAATCAGTCAATCAATCCCAGTTTAAAAAAGTTGATAATGCATCCAATTAATTCCGAATATTATCTAGTGATAAATTTGAAAGGACTTCTCGCAGTGCCAGATTCAGTAAGAGTGGTCAACGGCCTCGATCAGCTGGGGTCTAGGACCGGATCGAGGAGCACCAAGCATTGTAACTGAAGCTCAGGGTTACTAGAGGAGAAGAAGAAAAGTTATTAGTTGCTGTACAACAATTTCACATGTACAGTCATGGCCAAAAGTATTGAGAATTACACAAATATTATATTTACACATGATCTGCTGCCCTCCGGTTTTCGTGTGTATGTCAGATGTTGTCATCACATACAGAAATACAATCAATGCTTGAATTTAGTCAGAATTCCTAGGTTTTCGTTTTTCCACCCGTCTCTTGATGATTGACCATTAGTTTTAAATGGGATTAAGATCAGGGGAGTTTCCAGACCATGGACCCAAAATCTCTGTTTTGTTCCTTAAGCCAGTTAGATATCACCTTTGCTTTATGGCAAGGTGCTCCATCATGCTGGAAAAGGCATTGTTCATCACCAAACTGCTCTTGGACGGTTAGGAGAAGTTGCTGTCGGAGGACATTCTGGTACCATTCTTTATTCATGGCTGTGTTTTTAGGTAAGACTATGAGAGAGCTGACTCCCTTGGGTGTGAAGCAACCCCACACATGAATGGTTTCAGGATGCTTTACAGTTGGCATGAGACAAGACTGGTGGTAGCGCTCACCTCATCTTCTCCGAACAAGCCGTTTTCCAGATGTCCCAAACAACTGGAAAGGGGATTCATCAGAGAAAATGACTTTACCCCAGTCCTCAGCAGTCCACTCCCTGTACCTTTTGCAGAATATCAGTCTGTCCCTGATGTTTTTCCTGGAGAGAAGTGGCTTCTTTGCTGCCCTCCTTGAGACCAGGCCTTGCTCCAGGAGTCTCGGCCTCACAGTGCGTGCAGATGCATTCACACCTGCCTGCTGCCATTCCTGAGCCAGCTCTGCACTGCTGGTAGCCCGATCCTGCAGCTGAAACACTTTTAAGAGATGGTCCTGGTGCTTGCTGGTCTTTCTTGGGCGCCCTGGAGCCATTTTGGCAACAATGACGTTGAAATATGTTTTGGGGGATAAAGTTAATTTTCTAGGCAAATAGTGACTTTGCAATTAATTGCTGTTATGCTGAACACTCTTTTTAACATTCTGGAGTATATGCAAATTGCCGTTATAAAAACTGAAGCAGTAGACTTTGTAAATATTAACATTTGAATCATTCTCAAAACTTTTGGCCATGACTGTACATGAAGAGAAAGTCGCAGCGCAGTCGCCAACTGCTTCTTCTTTTAAACGGAATTACCAAACAGCCTCTGATGGTTTTTCCACCCCTTTTGGCCCACATTCTCTGCAGGTGTACATCTCGAAGGGTCCGGGACCTCTGGTGGCAGGGCGTGCCCCCCAGCGTCCGGGGCAAAGTGTGGAGCCTGGCGGTGGGCAACGAGCTCAACATCACTCACGGTAGGCCGTGCTGCGAGTGCACGGAGGGAGTGTGTGTGTCTGATGCCCCCCCGACCACTCCTCACCCCCCCCCCCTAAAACCTCCCAAAAACTACGGGGTGCTGCTGCTTTAAGGGTTCTTGTAGTAAACGGTGTTAAGGCTGGAGGACTTCAACCCACGTCGGGTCTTATGACGAGAGAAGCCATAGTTTTTCCTGCATTTCTTTGTTTTCCTCCATGTTTGATTGCAGTGTTCTGTGTGGTTAAACGTTGGGTACATTATCATGCCCATCCACATTTTCATTGGTTATTGAAGATTAGGTGACAGCTGTCAAAAGTAGGGTTTGCGTTTCCTGGGTTTCGTTGCTGCTATTGAAGATTTGTTTGGGCGTTACTATGGAGATGGTTACCTAGCAGCGGAAGCAGCAGGCTCGGGTTCTTTATCCCTGACAGCAGCTTTATTTCTAGTTGGGAAATCATGAAAGTTTAAAATGTAGAGTTCAAATTGATGAGCCAAATGATGGCACCCTCATACCAGCCCTCAGACGTCCAGCGCCCCTCAATGTTTCTAACATCCTCCAGGGGGCGGAACCACCCCTGCTGAGAAACCGTGCTGCATTTGAGCACTGCTATATGTTAGACAAATGGATTGTGATATATTCCACTGTAATTGAACCACACACTTGTTTTCAAAGTTTTGAAAACTTCTGATATAGACATAAATTGGTTGCTTGATTTGGTGTTTAAATGTAAATTAGACTCAGTTTACATTGTTTATTTCCTGGATAAATGTAGTTTAAAACTTTTAGGACTGAAGAAGGACACACTAATACAGGAAACAAAGAAACTCTTAAAGGGGAAACAAGATGATCGTTCTTGTTCCAGCCTTTTAGCTAATGGACTACTGATCCCCAGCTCTGAGATGTGGCTCACCAAGCCCCTTTAAGCCCACTCCTACGCAGCTGCTGAAATTAACCAAATTCTCACTACCTCTACAACCAGCAAATAAAAAAAAAACCTGCTAGAAGTGTCTCAGAAATGGGCAACAATAGGGATTATTACCCATTAAAAAAATTCCCTTCATTGTAGAATAATAAGAGACACAACTGCACCGCGAACAGGGCTCATATTAAACAAACCGATAAATAGGAAAGTAAGATGCTCTCTGTTGGAGCCAATCTCCAACAAACTCTGCAAGATATTATATATTTAAGGGTAAGCTTTGGCTTGAGGGGATAATACAATTTTTACTGACAAGGTGTGCAAAAAAGATCTACACTTTAGTTACATAATGATCCTACAGATTTTTAAATGTTAGAATTCCTTTCAAAATGGCAAATATTTGAAATGGATAGTCAGATTAATGATGGTGAATATTCTTTTTCTAGAAAATATGTACCTATTTTATTTATATGTTTAAGAATTGATTAAGAAGTGATTTGAAAAGCAGAAGAAAAATATTAGAAATAGATCTTTTTAGCTTGTTGTGAGCCTATTTTGGGTCAATGTACAGTTTATGTTGTCACTGAAAATGCCCTTCGTTTAAAAAAAAAAAAAAAAAAATTATTTTTATTTTTTTTATTTTTACAAATCTTGGTCGTTTTCTGCAGGTACTATTAATATAGGTTTGAAAAAGTGTTGATCAGGATGAAGGCCACCCATGCACAGCCTTATTACATATCTAGATAAATCATTTCCTGGATCTGGCATGCCATCAGCAGGGCGCAGCCATAGGTTAAATCCGAGCTCTGCAACGAAACTTAACCTCCCCTGAAATGGAGGGAGACGTTCGCTTTAATCACATTTAGTGGTTTCTGTCCAGTCATCATGTTTTGCCCCCCCCCACCCCTCGTTCATATTGATTCTCAGTGTTTTTGTTATGTGTCCCCACAGAGCTATATAGCATCTGCCTGGCCCGGGCAAAAGAGAAATGGAGGTCCACAGCAGCTCCTACCCAGGACACTGAAACTGAAGGTAGAAGCCAGCTACAAGCAGTCTTTTAAAAAAAATAAATAAAAGAAAATCACTCATTCATCTTTAATGGGACAAAAGGACATTGTCTAACGCTGCTGTGTCCTCAAGACGTTTCAGGCTCTTCAGACCGGGAGTCGAGCCTGGAGCTGATCAAGCTGGACATCTCTAGAACCTTCCCCCAACTGTGCATCTTCCAGCAGGTCAGCGCGCAGCTCGGGCATCACGCAATACTCTAGTTAACTTCAGAAAAAAGGAGAACAGAAGTCATACAGTGGGGGAAATAAGTATTTGACCCCTTGCTGATTTTGCAGGTTTTCCCACTTACAAACAATGCTTATTTTTCCTCATCAGATGGTTATCAATTTTGATAAAATCATATGATGTGATTTTCTGGAATTTTCTTTGGGATTCTGTCTTTCATTGTTAGAATGTACATATGATTAAAGTTATAGATTGTTGCATTCTTTGTAAGTGGGTAAACCCTGCAAAATCAGCAAGGGGTCAAATACTTATTTCCCCCACTGTAGTTTGCCTGTGTTCTGAGCACATGAAGGGAGGGAGAGTCACAGTAAGGTGTGTTTTCTTGGCCCGTTTGTTCCTTTGTCCTCACTGCTCCCCTGTCGATCATCAGGGCGGGCCCTATCACGACGTACTGCACAGCATTCTGGGAGCATACACGTGTTACCGGCCAGACGTCGGCTACGTAAGTCACTTTTCGAACACCACGCTTTCATGAGAAATCCTTAATTTATTATCAGAGGTTGTATAGAGTCACAATGCACAGATGACTTTAGTTTCAGAAATGCTTTTTTTAATAAAACACCTCAGGTTCTCTGCACTCTGATCAAACAGAAGTAGGAAGTGTATTTACTACATTTTGTCTGTAAAAACAGACAATGTGGAAAATAAATATAGAAAGGTACTTATTTATTTGATTATGTTTTTATTTATTGTATTGTCAAATTTTAAAGATATGGTGGCTTAAAGGAAAAAAAAAAGAAATTTGGCTTTTTTCTTCTTTTAAAAAAACCTTGGTTCTCTGCACTCTGATCAACAGAAATATGTAAAGAATGTAAACAGACTTTATGTAGAAAATAGATATAGAAAGGCAAACTTTGGGGGAGATGAACAGGGTGTGAAAATCAGAATGGAAGTGACAAATATGTACATCTGTCCATTGCAAAAAAGACAAAAATAAAAAGAATACTTTTTAATATCAGGCATTTAAGGTAAGGAAGAGAAGAATATTTAAAAATGGAAAATTAATACAGTCGTAGATAAACAAACATGAAGTCTTAAAGGGAATACGATTTTATTCAGTTTTTTTTCTGAAGTGATTGACATTTCCCACTTGGTCTCCTTTCATTTACGGTAAATAAATAAATGGTTCTATTCCCTTCTGTCAAGAAAGCTCACGTGCGGGACTCATAGCACGACAGCTGTGGCGACGGTGTTTCTTAAATGAATTGTTTAGCTATCGTCCCGTCGCCCACGTTCCACCCGTTTCACATGTTAAATGAGTAAAGCTCTTTGGCTAATTCTAATTGTAAGGGGGGAAACTGCAAGCTGCACAGTGAAGTGTAGCCCAAACTGGGTGAAAGCTCAACTCATCCGAAGCACTTTATTCCTGAATCCATTTGAACAGTGCCGTATTAATCACTGAGAATGTTTTTAAACCCATTTTTTATGGGAATTCTGACCTGAATCCTTTTCAGTTGATGCACACACAGATTCTTTCCCCAATTTACCTTTAGAATCAGATCTCACTAACTGCCAAATGTTTTTCTCTGCCAGAAGGGATGTCAAAAATTAATTAAGATGTTCCATTTCTTTTCTTTTGTTTCTTTTTTTTTGAGCTCTTCTCAGAATGATGTGTCACTGGAGCTGCTCACACACCTCCATGTTTCCACATCTGCATCAGCGCTTTTTCGCCCAGTTAAAAACCTAAAAATAAAAAGCCGTAACCCTAATCCTGTGACTTTTTCCTGTCTGTTTGCATCCCTGTCGCTTCCATCCTTTCCTACCTGCCTTTATCAATATACAGGATTTTAAAATATAGCCAAGTCCCTTATAACCTCTGTATTATTCTGTACACACAAAACTGACAAAAAAAATTTTTTCAGTGCTTATAAAGCACAAGGTATAAAACAATCCCCAAGTTTATTTTTCTCGTTTCTGATGCAAATTAACACATTTTTTATACTGATGTTTGTAACATGTAATGTAATGGACCTCTTTTTCATAAAATTATACCTAATATTTGAGGAAAACAAGGTCAGAAACTCAGAATTATTTTCAGTTTCGGATCAGAGGCACACGAGCAGGTATAGAACTGTGGACAAAGTTGATTTGAAACCATTTCAGTCTGTTTTATTGGCAGCAAATAGTCACAGTTGTTGTCTTATCCTGATCAGGGGAACATATGTTAATATTTTATCACAGTATGGAACCATCAATGTCATTTTTAGGCCTTTAAATGAAAGAAAACCAAAGGTTTCTGGGCACATAAAGGCGTGAGAAATGGAAATCTTTCCACAGAATTAAATGTACATTTCTTTTTCTTTTTTTTTTTGTTGTTACACATCATGGTTTACTTTTGAGCTGAGTTTGTGTTGCACTCCACATACCTTTGCCTCACCGCAGCCCCAGCCTGCTGTGTAACTATATGTAGAAATGACTGTGACTTCCTGTACTGACCCCAACCCATGAGATCCCCCCCGCCCCACAAACACACACACACACACACACACACACACACACACACACACACACACGCAGTCATGCATTCGCCTCTTGTGCAGCTTTGCATTAGACACAGCAGTGAACACCTCACCACTTTCCACCTCGCTATGTTGCTGTTTCTCATTCGGAAATGTGTCAGAGGCAAAAGTTCAGCTGCTTTATGTGTGTGTGTGTGTGTGTGGCCTCTAAACATGTGCGATTTTTTTTGTATTTTTTATTTGTGTGTCCAGGTGCAGGGAATGTCCTTCATCGCAGCGGTGCTGATTCTGAATCTGGACACGGCTGACGCCTTCATAGCTTTCGCCAACCTGCTCAACAAGCCCTGTCAGATGGCCTTCTTCAGAGTTGACCACAGCCTTGTTAGTGCACAAACACACACACACAAACACACTTCTGCATGCACCCAGGTGGCTTAACCTCACTAGAAACAGGCCTTCGGCCTTAGAGCTACTTCATTTGTGCACAGTTTTCTTTTTTACTAGTAAAGGCAGCTCTATAGACGCACCCTGTGCTGGTTACAGGGAAGAAAAAAACTAAAAAGAACGGAGAGTATTCACTCTCTGAATAAAAGTTTTAGAAAGTAAGTTTTAACCGCTGTTGTCATTAAGTTTGTGATCAGTAAGCTCATGAAATCATAAAAAAAACCCTGAAACGAGCCAGTAAAAATGCTGTAAAATGCACGGATTTGCACTCAGATAACGTGAGCATTATTATGTACGGAACCCCTTTTTTTTTTTTTTGGTTTGTGGTTTCATTTGCGGTTTGTTTTTGGTCACTGAGTCGTCCAAATCCCAAGAAATTCAGGCTGAAGGACCAAGGCTGATAAACATTTTTAGGAAACCACTGCTTCTTAATGAACTCCTAATCTGTTTTCTCTGTCAGTCTACAAATGGTCGTAACTTTGAGCAAAAACTGTATTTTTTTCACATTGTTCTGACCGTTCACACCTCCCATCCTCACCCCCCGCTGCTAGTTTCCTCTGTCACGTCCGGCGTTTGCCTCTGCGCCGCTCACCGTGGTTAGTTTGGCTTTGTGGGTGCTCGTTTCTCTCTGAATAACCCGCCTCGTCTCCTCTCTGCAGATGTTGACGTACTTTGCCGCATTTGAAGTGTTCTTTGAAGAAAATCTACCAAAGCTCTTTGCACATTTCAAGAAAAACAACCTGACTCCTGATATTTATTTGATCGACTGGTGAGTGATGCACATTTCTTTTTTAAACTTTTTCTAAATCTACCCAAAATGCATCCCATTAGGTTTAACGCACAGTCAACCCTTTGGGTTATTTGGCGTGATGTCATTTGACACCTGGAAACTGTGAAGATGCTCCCCGCCTCCCAGCGAAAGTGCGCTCTGTGCTCCATCCTGTTGAATTCACGCTGCTATTTCTGAGAAAAGGACCGTCTGTGTGGGCAGGGGGCCCATGTTACTGGTCAGGAAGCTTCTGCCTGATCTCACCTTCATTACAAAGATGCAGACAGGAAGTAGCTCCGGCCTTATTTAAACCCAGATGCCTTTTTAGTAAAGCACCATTAGTTTCACGGTTGCATAAAGCACAATTAGCTTAAAGATGAAGTCAAAATATCACTTTAACCTCTCAGTTTAGAGTTGCATGCCCCAAAAAGTTGAATTTAATATAGTGTCATCACAGAACTTGTATTCCTCCTGTTTAAAAGGAGTAAGGTCACTCTCTCACATCTCTTTATTTGTTTTTGTTTTGACATGTCGCTTTTGTAAATGTTTGTTTGAAAGCTGGTATTTTTATCAAACGAGGCAAGGGAAAAAAAAGAACTAAATGGAGAAAAAATCAAGAGAATAAGTTAAATGAAAGAACAATTCACATCTTTTCAAAATGACTTATTTTCCATTATCCGTTACAAACATGCTTGCATGTGAACTTATTTGAAGATTAAGAGGTCATAGGAATGGTAGAAATAATGAAATTGGTAAACATTTGGCTGTAGACTAGAAAAATTACAACAGATTGTGTGTGTATATAGAAATAAACAAATGCAAATATATTGGTAAGTTTGACTACCGCCTCATGCCCCTTCCACTGTGTATCAGAGGTGTCCAAATCCGGCCCTCTGTGGGCCACCGTCCAGCAGGTTGGACTTGTTTCACCACTTTGACACGCCTGACCTACATCGGCGCACCATGAACAGGCATGCAGGTGTTGTGGAATTGGATGAGGGTCACTGACACGTGCACTGCAACCCTGAATTAGAGCAGGGTCGATACTAAAACTAGACAGGCAAATGGGTTAGTTAAGTTATTATTTTTTTTTTTTTTTAACACAATCTGTGTCCTACATATTGGTTACCTTCAAATGTATCCAGCTTTTCCAGTACCGTTCAGATGGATCTTCTTCGAGTCTAAAAGTGAACATTGACTTCCCCTTAAAAAAAATTAAAAAACTTGAACTACTTTTCCCGAGTATGATACCTTTTGCCAACTATTTCCTACTTACAAACTAACAGATGACTATTAACCAACAATGTTTTTTTTCCTTCCAAACCCCTTAAAAAAAGACTCAAATCTTCATATAATGACTATTAGAATTCTTTTTATTCATGTTCTATGCAGTTTCTTTCCTTTAACCAAATTAACTTTTTATCTTGTGGCCCTTTGCCATTAATTTGCCTTTAAACCCTGGCTGACTATGTGCTTAAATGCTAACTTTTTTGGGGTGCCAGTACCTGACAATTCCCAAAAATCCAGTGAGGCAGAGCCACACTGAGTAGTTATCGGTAAAAAAGGGCAAATGGAACACCACTGGACTAGAACTAAAAAGAAAGAAGAAAAAAACTAGACTTTTCCACTCAAACTATTTCCAATACATTGTGACATTGTTTTTTCCAACCAGTCTCTTCTTAAAAATTTTTTTTTTAATGTACTATCCTCCTGTTCTGTGTCTTGTTTGTATGTTGTATGTGTGTCCACAGTCAAGCTCCAACTGAGCTTATTCCAGCTATTCTTCGTTTTATACATCTTTAATTCTGGTCCTAATGGCGTTATCCCCCCCCTTCGACCCCCACAGGATCTTCACTCTGTACAGCAAGTCGCTCCCGCTGGACCTGGCGTGCCGGGTGTGGGACGTCTTCTGCCGGGACGGCGAGGAGTTCCTGTTCCGCACGGCGCTGGGCCTGCTGCGGCTCTACCAGGACGTGCTGACCTGCATGGACTTCATCCACATGGCCCAGTTCCTCACCCGCCTGCCGGACCTCATCCCGGCCGAGCAGCTCTTCCAGCACATCGCCGCCGTTCACATGAGCAGCCGCAACCGGAAGTGGGCCCAGGTGGGACGAGTCCGGCCGTTTTTCATCCTTTAAACAAATGCATTTCCCCTTGTTTTTTTTCCCACGCGCTCTCTAGGTTTTACGGTAACTGTGCGTCTCTCTTCCCGCCCCCCCTCAGGTCCTGCTGGCGTTGACGGAGCAGAAGAAGTCGGGGGCGAGGCAGTCCGGTGCCGAAGCGCTGAGCTGAGGTGTGGACAGGGAGGGGGAAACCGCAGCGCATCCACCCACCTCAACCAGCCCCCTCCGCCCCTCCACCAGCCCCCTCTTCTGTCCGGACCGGACGGGGCCTGAGAGAGACAGAGAGAGGGACCCCCCCCGCGGAGCCGGGGACCACCGCGAGGACCAGAACCCGCAACGGCGGAGGAGAGCGCGTCACTCACACCGAGGTACAGGGGGGCTCTTGAGAGAGGAATCCGAGGCCTTATTTAAACCCCCAACGCCCCTAAAACCCCCTCCAACCCGCCGCCCTGAAGCCTAGCAGTGAACTGGAAACTGTAGCCGGAGGGAGGGAGGGACGGTGGGGTGGGGGGGGAGTTGAAGAATGTAACACACTCCCACACTCGCACAGGGAACAGGCTGACTCAGATCTGCACCGACCACAGAGATACCCACTCATAACCCCCCCCCACACCCCCACCCCGACTCGTACACTCAGCGATTGACCAGCTGGCAGCATCCTGCTCCAAACAGAGTTTTGCTGGTCTTTCGGGTTAACTCATCTCTCCCTGACCTTTACATCAACAGCGGCTTTGTGACATGGTTTGGTCAAACCGCGCCTCCTCACCTTTCACCTCACTTGAATCATTCCTTTGCGTTCTCCATTTCTCTTTTCGATGCCGGCATTTGTTTCCTTCGTCTCCAATCAACGCTTCTGTTCTCAATCATTCCGAGAAATCCAATCCTCCAGAAAAGGCTATTCCATTTCCCTTTTTTTTTTTTTTTTTTTTTTTTTTCTTTGGTTGAAATCCATGACGACGCGGCTCGCTGTAGTTTAGGAACTCCGAACACAGGTGGCACAATTCACCTGGTAACTGGGTTTTACCTCAAAGCGCAAGGCGCTAAAATGTGGTCAAATGTCACAACTCGGTAGTGTCTCAGTCCATTTTAGTCTAGTTTGGTTTCCCATGTCTCGGTGTGCTCTTGAAGTCTTTTGTGGAGCTATTTAATGTTTGTCAGTGAGTTTGGGACCTGCTGCCGCCAGGACTCGTCCTCCACCCAGTGCTCGTAAACCTCTTGTCCACTAAAACAGCAGATTAGCGCTGAGTCACTTTTGTCCAAAGCGGACATATCCCTCCTCTTTTTTTTTCTTTTTTTTTTTTTTTCTTAAACCATATGAAGTGTGGGCCAAAAAAGCATCCCGTCTTTAAATTTGGCCCCAGCATCGCCACACTTTTTGGGTTGGCGACTGACTCTACAAAGCTGAAGAGACTCGAAGTGTTTCCATGTCGCATAAATTCCGAGCCCCATTTAGCTTTTAGAGAGCCTCCGATTTACTTGAAACTTGCAGAAATTCTTATGATCGGTTTATTTCTGAAGGAAACCCTCAAAAAAGGCAGCCTAGAAAAGAAGGAAAACTCCCCCCGAGCGTGTGTGTAGAAATGCGCGAGTCACATCTGTTTTATTTCATTTAAATCTTTTCTTTCCTTTTTAAAATTTTTTTTTTATGTGCGACCCGGAACAATCACATGCTAATGCTGAAGGCTTTAAAGCACTTTAAAGAGGGCTTCGGGTGTCAGGAAGCCACCCCACTCGGTCTGCTACTGCGGCTCCAAATTCACACTTTGGTGAACGAGTCGCCCAGCCTGACCAGCAGTGGGCCTGAATCCACAGCGTTTCTCGATCATCACTGTAAGGAAGAAAAAAAAATTCTCAGTTACAATCCGATCATCACATAATTACATCTAATCAGTCTTGAAATGTTGTATTGGCTGTTGAGGCCCAAGAAGGCGTTGTTTATTTATTTATTTTGATTGGTTTAGTTTGCTTGCGAGAGCTTTTTCTCTGGATGTGTTGTGGTGGAGATGGCGTCCTTTTCCCGTCCCGTAATATTATCTGACTTCTCTCTTCATCGTCTCTGCCGCTTTGTGGCTTTTTTGTTGTTGTTGTTTTGTTTGTTTCGTCTTTTTTTTGTTTTTTCAGCGTGTGCAGCAGACTTTCTGATGACGCTTCTTAATGCACCCCACACCTTCCTCCTCCTCCTCCCCACTGTGGTCGCACACCGCAGGACTGCAATAAATCGTTTTGCACAAACGTGGGCCTTTGAGTTGAGCTGCATCAGCCCTTTGTCATCTGTCACGGTTCAAACGGGTCGTTTGGTTTTTCCATCCTTTTTCTTTCCCTTTCTTAAAAGTTCCATTTCATTGTGCTGTGGTGTCGGTCTTTGGGTGTGTGTACGCGTGTGTGTGTGCGTGTCTCCCTGTGGTTGAGAAAAAAAACGAAAGGAAAACGGAATCCGTTTTGTTACATGAAAAGTAAAGCTTGGATATTAAATCACCAGCTCCAGGCTGTACCAACACTACCTGCTCATTCTTTAATCCAGAGCACTTGACAAATTGATCAAATTAAAACTAAATATGACAGAGAAATATCATGTAAACTTGCATAGCAATCAGGTTGATTATTTTCTTTTCTTTCTGGAAGCCAGTTTGTTTTTCATTGTCTGACTTATTATTATTTGTTGTTAAAAGACCCGTGGACTGTAGGGGACTAATAGGCAAAACCTGGAGACATCAGAGGGTCATCATGCAACTGTATATCTCACTTGAAGTGTACATAAACGATGGTTTTATTATAATAAAAATGTACATGTTCAACCAGGGCCTGCTTGGCGTGTATTTCTTCAACATGGAAAAATGACACGCAACTCTAAGATCTTTGAAATTAAAAATGTCCTCGCAGCAAGTGGGGTTCCCGGTCTGAATCCCAGCGGGGAGCCTTTCTGTTTGGGGTTTGCATGCACTCCCTTTTCTGGGTGCTCTGGCCCCCTCTTACAGTCCATAAACAGGTGTCAGGTTAATGGGTGACCTTAAATTGACAGTAGGGGTGCTTTTAGGTGTGTGTAATCGTCATGTTTCTGTGTGGCCCTGTGATTGGTGACCTGTTTAGGGGGTAGACTCTTACTGACAGGTGGGATAGGCTCCCTAGGACCATACTAAGAATAAGCAGTGTAAAAAAAAAAAATGTTTGGACGGTTTCAGCTAATCAATTTGACCATCAGAAGGCGAATAACAATAACACGACAGGGCACAAAAACCCACAGGGCTGGGCAGAGGTTAAAAATAATATAAATCTAAATTTGCGTATGGAATAGTCCATCCATCCATTGTCTATACACCTTATTGCTATTAAGGTCGTATGTAATTGTGCCAATGCAGTTTAAAAAAAAACCTGTTAAGTCGACTGTCAAAGTGTATTACAAATATAAAATCCTAAGTGAAACAATAAAGCCCTAAAATGAAAGAGATGGGTTTAAATACAAAAAAAAAAGTCGCAGTAAAGGAAATGTGTGTTAATAGAAGGTTTAAGAACAGTAAGTAAGCTCTAATATTCCATCTAATATTCCTTCTTGTACAACTTAATTTCATCATTAAGGGATTTTGAAAATCTGAAGTAAAAATCCAATATTGGGTATCTCTGGGATCCTTTAAACATACGGTAGTTTACACTGCAGGTACAAGCTTTGTCACACAAAGAAGTCACACAAGAAAAATTATCCTTATGCGCTTCGTAAAATACAGGAAATGCACTCAGTACCTCTGTTTTACTGAAGGCCAAAGGAACACGCGTGTATCACCTTTGGTCTAACCGCAGGGGCATTTCCTGTACTTTCTACCCAGCAATGTAACCAAGTGGAAAAATGTGTCACCTTCATATTCTCAGATTCAGGCAGCTTTCAAACCACAACCCTCCCTCTTTCACACCGCCGACAGCTTTCGTCAGACACGTTTTGATCTTGATAAGCCTCGCAGCGCATCACCTTTGGTGTAGAAGCCACTTATCTCGGTTTGAAAAACATCTCGGGTGTTACTATCTGTCCCTGTCGCCAGAGGAATATTAAAGCCATCATGAAGGCCGCTTACATCATCCTGCTCTGCATCCTGGGAGCTGCAGTCTTTTCTACAAACGCCTCCAACAGTAAGACTACCTGCGATTTTTGTGCGTTTGGAAGACGCCCTGCCACAAAAACTTAGCTAAAATCCTCCTCTCCTCAGATGCAGTTGGGCCCGATGACTGCTGCTTCAAATTATATCCAAGAAGGATCAAAAAGGATTTAATCAAATTGTATTATGTGACTGATTACCGCTGCCCCAAGCCTGGAGTCATGTAAGTGTTCAAAAATGGTCTGAATATGTTGATCACAAAGAACTTGATAAGTCTAATAAAAAGTATTTTGACAATTAATAGGAACCATTACAAGTAATAAAAATGTATTACTATTACTAAGTAACAAAACCCATGCAAAAGCATCTAATATTGCACTTTGAGGTTGATCTGTGCTTGTTTGTCCCTTTTCTTTAAGCATCGAGCTTTCTTTTTTTGAATTTTTTTATTTTGATTTTTTTTAGATAAAACTGATAAAACTCTGTTTTCTGACGTTACCATTTTCACGTCTGTCTCAGATTTGTCTCAAATGCAGGCCGCCACATCTGCGTGGACAAGAATCTCCCCTGGGTCGAGGGCATCATGAGAAGTCTGGACGAGAAGTCCTTTTAACGAGTGACCCGCTCACTCTGTTTCCGTCTGCCTCGTCAGACCTTGTACCCCTGCGATTCATTTGCAATAAATGAACAAAGATGATGATTTTTAAGCAGAGTTACCTATTTGTGCGATGTCATTTAGAAGCTTTGTGTAACCATTATCCTACCCTGTAAACTAGATCGCAGCCGATAAGCTTCATTTTCCCTCTTAAATGCCTGAAAACGTCTGAGAAACTTTGTTGAATATTATTGAGATAAATAAAAAAGAATGTGTTAATCACGTCTCTGTTGTGGTTTTATGCACAAAGACTTTGAGAGGAACGGCACAACTGAAAGATTAATTGAACAGACGATGGATGATGGATGTTGATCTGTTGAGGAAAGCCAGGTACTTGGAACTGTGGCTTCACTACAGAGAAAGAAAGAGAGAAGGATGTGAACAAAGGCTGGAATGAAGGAGGAACGGTCCTTACTTTGTGGATGACTGATCAAGTCCAGAGGAAGGGGGGGAAGGGGGGGGTGTATCCTGTAAGGGAGTGCCATGCTGTCTGGGGACCAGTACAGATGGGGGAACGTTGGAGAGAGGACAGTTTGCATAAAGGGGGCCCATCTCAAGAGGACGAAGACCTCTGGCCGTGGTCATGAAAATCCAAAAGGTTATAGATTCTATGAATGATGCTAAGAAGAGGGCTACACATGGGAAGCTTTTTTTAAGGGCTTAGAGGGATCCCACAAGGTTCTTGAAGGAGACACAAGAGAGTTAGGTTTTTCTCAAGGAATTTATGAATCAGAAGGACTGCAAGAGGTTTAGGTTTACCACAAGGTTCAACACTCAAGCACTTGAAAACTGGCAGCCAGGTGCTGATATACTGCTACCGGTAATCACTGATGCTTTCCAGTTACTTCCACCCTCCAGTTACTGGTTCCACGGCGCCCCCAGGTGGGCTTGAATTGACACTACCCACCCTGAACACCCCAGATCTTTGACAGGCTCTTGTTCCCCGTAAGTTTTTTCAGATTACCAACTATGAAATGTTTTCCTTATTACAAATATAACTTTAAGAAATGCTGATTCGATTTGATTTAGATTAAATCATGGGCGGCATAGTTCGCACCATCGCTCACAGCAAGAGGGTTCTGGGTTCGAGACCCTGGGGAACCCAGGACCTTTCTGTGTGGAGTTTGCATGTTCTCCCTGTGTCTGCGTGGGTTCTCTCCGGGTTTCCGGCAGCATCCCATGGTCCAAAAACCTGCATGTTAGGCTGGTTAGACATTCCAAATTTCCCTTAGGAATGAGTGTGTGTGGTTGTTTGTCCTTGCGTGTCTCTGTCTGGCCCTGCGATGGACTGGCGGGCTGTCCAGGGTGTACCCCACCTCTCGCCCATTGACTACTGGGATAAGCTCCAGTTCCCCCCGCAACCCATTTGGGAATAAATGGTTACGAAATGGATGGATGGATTAAATCATTAGTGTTCCATAACCCCTTAATTACATTTCTTTGTATATTGCCGGAAAGATTAGAAGTCAGTACTAATGGGTTACACATATCTTGGAGAAAAAAAAAACAAGCATAATTTTTAAAAATTGGAATTCTTGTTACAGAAATAATGTGATCAAACATGTCCAAAATATGAAGGCTTATCTGCAAAGTTCTTAGCTCGATTACCACAAACTCATGTCTCTATTTTGATTTCTACAGGGTGGTTACCAGAACAGTTTCGGCATTTTGTATCTGTCCAGATAAGATTAGGGAATTCATAACGTGTGACAACAGTGAATCGTTTACAACGCAGGAAAAATGACAGTATTACCAGAAAGTCTCGTAATCTACAACCCCTTAGTCGGAAACTAGCATGATTATCAGCATGATTATCAGAAACATCAAAACTGCATAGCCAATAAAAATGTGTATTTTTCTTTAAACCCATCATGTGTTTTTAGCATGAATATGTTATCATTTACTCCCTAACCTTAAAAACGAGGATGTAGAATAGAAATAGAAAAGTGTTATGAAAGTGTAAAACTGAAAACCCTACATTTGATGGCAAAAGAGTTTAAGACCAGCAAAAAATGGTTAAGATTTACCTTCTGTCTTACTTAAAAGTGGCTGTCAACATAATAACAAGTGGAGTATTGCTGTTGTTGGGTGGTGATTTGCTACATCGCCTCAAGGCAAGTGGGTTCAAATCCCAGAGGGGTCAGGGACCTTTCTGTGTAGATGTTTTTGAATGCCCTCCCCGTGTCTGTGTGGGGTCATCCAGGTCCTCTGGCTTCCTCCCACAGTCCAAAAACATGCGCACAAGGCTAATTGAGAACTCTAAACTGCCCCCTTTGAGTGAGTGTGTGTGGTTGTGTGTCTCTGTGTGTCTATGTGATGGAATGGTGACCTGTCCGGGTGGAACACACCTCTCACCCACTGTCAGCCGGTATGGGCCCCTAGTACTCCTACTACTACTTATAATAATAATAATATATTATATAGTATTTTAATTATAGAATATTAAAATATAACCAGTAGTAATATTACGAGTAATGTGTAATATTACTCAATAATGAGTAATCTTTCTATGAAAACTGTGAAATTGAGATTGAGTCCTAAAACACTCTCTGGAACAGTTTGCTGTTAAACTATCTCTTTATTACCAAATCAATTTTGAGTGATATAAGAGCAAGAGCAAACATTCATCCGCAAACTTTCATTAGAACTATCTAGAAGGACTTTTTTTTAGATTTTGTCGCTAAGCCTTCGGTTTCCTTCCTTTGCTGCCGAACCATCAGATTACAAGATCCCTCCAGTTTTAAGAGATGGTATCTGAGCTGACAAAGTCAGCCTTACTGAGAACCTGACATCATTTGGTACCAAATCCACGATGGTCCTCTTCATCACCAGCAAGCTGCTTCTTGTGACTCTTCTACTCCAAACAACCGAAGAGCGTGAGTTCAATGCCGGATGAGTTTTTAAAATTTATGACGTCTCGTCACCAATATGATTAAATCGTAATGTTTGACAAACTTGGTCGTTATGATGCAATATCGTAGCCATACTCTGCATTTTCGACATCATTATGGTTTCTGGGAACACAAAATTGGTTTAATTCCTGATTTGACATGTACATGTATTCAAATTTTTAGTGTATATATCTGGTCTCACCCAAGTATAATCATTCAACTAACAAATGGTCAAAATGACGCTACAATCTGTGTCAATTATTCGTACTGCGGGTTGACATTTATCAGTAGAATAAGTTAGAAATCGATTGACTTCAGGAGATGACCGGACCGGCCTCCATATTCTTGAAAACATTTTAGAGTACTTTATCAGAGCTCCAGACAGTTTAGCTTGTGGGATTTCTTCGATGTAAATACAATACCGGGGTTGCATGTACAGCAGGAAGACGAGTCCACTGCCAATTTTGTGTATTTTCTCTGCTCCTTCAACATTCAGGCAAATTGCAGGAGGAAGACACAGCCCCTCCATATGAAAACTCCGTGCATTATGGGGAGTTCTGTCTGCGTATACAAGATGACTCTGGTCGGGCCAGCCCTGAACCTAAAATAAAGCAACCCCGCCCACCCAATAATCCAACTAAACTGACCGATGGGGGATCCACATCTTCACATCTGACCACCCAGTTGCCCACACAGAAACAGCAAACAGTCGTGGAAACTATTAAAGTTGCAATGGCCCCGTTACCTATTAATTCAAGTGAGCTTTTTAAGATAATTTTTTTCACATCATTGCCTCCTCTTCTATAGTGTAAATTTACCAATGACGAACATGATCTTTTTTTTGTAAAATAATTAATTATTTAAAGACAACAATAATAATGATAACTTTTTACATGCACATATTGTCCCAGCACAACTTAAATCGAATTAGTAAGATTAGTAATGATGCATAATATGATCCAATATAACATATGAGATGATTTATACTACTGTTTGATGCAAATGCAAATGTAATGATACTATGATTCTTTGTCAACAAATATTGGCTGACAAGTGCCCGTTGGATGTCGCTGCAAAACTGAAGATCTAAAGCCGCCCAGCGAGAATTCCAATGTCGTTCGCCGTGTGCAACTGCTCCCAAGTCAAACATGCAACTCATCTGAATACCTGTAAGTGTGCACGCCAGAGAAATTGGATAATACCGGCGGGCTCTTTTTGAATGATGTAAACTTGCAAAATCTCAATCCACTTTACTTCAGATCAACCCATTTTTAATATTATATGGAAATGACTTTGCTGGGGGAAAAGGCTACTTGAAGGGGGCTTGTCCAGGACTCACATACACACAGTGTCATCATACTGACATCTTTGTCTTCACTTGGTACTACTCACGCGTCATTGACCCCAAGTTAGCACAAAGTTAGGTTTCCTATTCACATCATATGAATTTTACTCTGTTCAGATGCCACTTATAAAGTTAACGTTACTCTCCTTTCTTGAATAAAAGATCTTGAAGTGAGAAAAATGTGAGAAAACGTTTTTACAGATACCCTGGTACCCTGAACATTGTAACATAAATCCACTGCTATTTTTGTTAATAAGTTGTCATAAAAACCAGATCAGACGAAGGAATCATAATTAATTCTAACTTTCTTTTCAGCGAGCATTTGAAAGATGGCACAACAGTCTGCGTGAAGGGATTCGGAGTTGAGCATTCGATTGCAAATATTGTGTAAGTACGACTTCTGGCAAGAAAAATATGATTGTTTTAGGCTGCTTCCAGTCTGAAGAGATTTGAGCAGAGTGATCAAAAGTGTGAAAAACTGCTGCCACGGCCTTGTTAGAGTGACTGCTTTATCTGAAGTTTAAATCTGATAGCCGATCCGTTTCCTGCCTCGTTACAAAACATTTCCTGCAAACTCTGAGTAAAGATGTCCCCATAAGATGATTTGTTGATAAGAATGTGTGGCATGCGACACCGACAGATCCATTATCATGCCTTTCTTGAAGACCACTTTGCGAGGGATGCCAGGTCGGCCAGGTAACCCTCCGCCAGGTAACCTTCCATCACCGAACCCTCCGCCACCGAACCCTCCGCCACGTTACCCTCCACCACCGAACCCTCCGCC